TATAATGAATAGTTTTTAAATGCGTACTTTTCCCCATCGAAAAATCACTGGCAGAAATGCGAATGAAAAATGGAATCAGTCATGATCGTCTATTAAGAGGAAACTCAGAAAAGCTGAGCAAATCTGTTCTGCGATTTCAAACACCATTGATTTGATCTCAGTTTTAAAAGTTGAAAGTCAAGTTTGTTTATATGATGCCGATGGTGGCGCAAACGTAATAAAAAAGTGTTCGCTACGAACCTCTATAGGTGACTGAGGACAAGAATCTTCGCCATCGTCACGACCAGAAATGCTATCAGCAACATTCTCATGTTGTGTACCTTGGTTGGTTTGAATGGTTCCCTTTGCTGCCATTCTCGATACAGTGATCCGTGATCGAGATCACTGATAACTTTAGAGCAGGCAACTTTAGAGCACGCAAACCGAAAATCTAACACGATGGAATAGATTCTTGAAGTACGTACGAAAAGCTACGAAAAGCTCGAACCAAAAAGTACAGCGAATTCCGTTTGACTCCAAAACAAAAAGCTTTCGCAACACTACCAACACACGTCGGTCGTAAACAACAAGCGTTCGCAACCAGTGTGACCAGAGCAGTGTGAAACGCAATGTATTATCACAGATTAGCTATATATATATAGCTAATCTGCGCATTATTCAGTAAACCGAATAATGTATTATTCAGTACATTATAGTAGTAAAAGCAATTTGATTGGCTAATAGTTGACAGGATAAATCGCGCAATCAACGCAAAATTCAGTTATCTGCGCGCTGAGAGAAAACTGAGTTATCTGCAAGTGAGCCTGCGGTAGTTTACAAGCGGTATTCATTTGAATGTATTTATGTATTAATAATTGATGTATTTTTGGATGTTTCTATTAAATAAGGTTTTTCATTCGTTAATACTATGTTTACTATTCTTCAAATGTGTAAAACAATTATTGAATTCGGTTTTTGTGAAATGCAGAGTTATCAAGGTCTGCGCGACGCCCACGCACGCCATTTTCAAAGCTTTCAAAGCGCCTGGGTACGAGCCTGGCTGATAACGCTTACTCCGAGCTTGATAACTTTGCACATCCAATAATTGTTTATTATTTGACATGTCACATGCACTGTTTCCAAGCAATGGGCGGAGCGTTCCATGTGTGCTTGCAGTTTGCAGTTTGCACTCGTGCTTTGACATAGTTGCAGTGTTGTTGAAAGAAAAATGCTTGTGTTCATTTTCATTTCCCATGACTGTGGGATCGCCCTTTCGTATTAGCCTGCTCGCAGACAGCATCTCATGAGAACCCAAACTGTTGACAAAAAGATTCTAAGCGATGTTATATAATCACGTTGTTTTGATCTCAGGGAAACTCCTATATATTGTATTAGGTGATTAGTTAATTCTAATATATACGAGTTTTCCCTAGTTTTCCCTGAGATCAAAACAATGTGGAAACTAAAAAATATCGCTTTGTGGTTGTTGTCGACGCTCAAGTTTTGGGTTCTCATGAGTTGTCGCCGCTGCATGAATCCAAAGCCAAAGGTTTGCGCTTTTATTCTTTTATAATATAGCAGTATGAATATAAATCTAAAATGGCCATCTCTTAGAATTTTATATAAAGTCAAAACAGCGACAAAATCTGGGAAACAATCCTAGTGATGTTCAGCTTACTTGACTTATTTCTAGCCGTTTCATTCGTGCCACTTACGGCAAATATCTAACATGTTTGATAAATTCTGCCTCGTGTGCCGAAATCTTACCGTGTGCGGCAAACTGAAAGCTATCTGCTTATGGATTGTCTTAACAGCGCATGCGTAATATACGAAAGTAAACATCCAAGATAGCGGTGCAAACAAAGCAAAACGAATTGGTGGCTGAGGCCATATTGGAAAACAACCATATTGGTGTTTATACAATGTGAATTCTACAGATTTTAGAAACAGAGAGAAACGGGAATGCGTTATTGCAGAAATAACTAGTAAGCTTTCTCAAACAGGTAAAAAAATTGTAATAGCACTTGGATAACGGTGTTTAAAGCAGAAGTCAAGTCTAGTCCGACGCAACAGCAACAAAAATAACAACACCTCTTCGACTTCGTCTTCACTTCCATCCATAATTTTGTTTTTGCAATCTGTCCGCCATCTTGGATGTATACTTTCGTATATTACGCATGCGCTGTTAAGACAATCCATAAGCAGATAGCTTTCAGTTTGCCGCACACGGAAAGATTTCGGCACACGAGGCAGAAATTATCAAACATGTTAGATATTTGCCGTAAGTGGCACGAATGACAAAAGTCGCCTGATAAGTCGCCCGCACACGAGAGCAACTGGCCTACGCAAATAGCCACGAATGACTTTTTGCTAAGCACATAGCTCTAGTGTGCGCCGGCCTTAAGGTTAATCACGGTGGGTTAATGAGGTCGGGTCGTGACAGAATTCTGACAGAATATCCTGTCATCCAGTAACAAAAAGAAACAATGGATAAAAAAACAATAACTTGTAGGACACGTTAGGAGATACATGCAAAAATATTTTTTATTCGACATTTCAAATTTCTGTATTCGACATTCAACTTTCAAATCCAACCGCAATCCAATTCTATAAATACATATTAAATGCTGGCTCCAATCACGCTCCAATAGACGCACGTGTTGCAAATTTGCGGTAATGGGAATATGGAAAATTTTAATTTCTATTTTTTTGCATTAAAATTTCTCTTAAATCTAAATTAATTCCTTATTAAATTGTTTCCTCGCTGTGACGCTGTTATCAGCAGAACTGATGCTATGCTATGGCTGAAATTTAGTGGGTTTGCGCGACAAAAATTATATATGACGTATTTGCGTACAAATATATTTAACGAGTTACTTTTTTAACCATTTCTCTTTTTTAACTACTTCAATTTGCAATGGTTGAAACATAAAAGGAAGAACTTACTGGAAAGCGATCGCGTTTATTAATGATTGCGCTTGCCCATATAAATTTAGATGTGTTTAGACTTTGACTTCATGCCACAATAACATTACCCATCAGTCTATTAAAGGCCGATTGTGGTCTGTTAGGCACTGTTACGTCGCCTGTATAGACCGAAGAAGCCAAGAAGGCATTTATTGATATTCTATCGTTACAATCATAGGTACTTAACTCAACCTTCCAATACACAGCAAGCCGGACACGACCAATCTAACCAACACTGAATATAGTGGAAAAAGTTTGGGAAACGTGTACCCCCAACCAATGCATTGCTGTAAACCTGAGGTTTTGGGTTGCATGTAAAGTCGCTGACCAGATCATATGTTTTAATTACAATTATCTTATACTGTTACTCATCACCGGCCATGCATCGTTAACTATTGTTCAATGCCGGAAAAATATTAATATTCAACAAATTCCATTTTTAGTGGGATCTGCTGGGAAAATCTGGTTCATACACTGAGCCTATATTTCATACTAACTACCTTACAAAATTTGTATCCTATATTATTCTACCCTTTCCTATTTGTACCCTATTAATCAAATACAAAATTATTTATTAAAAAAAATACTGAAATAAATCAAATTTATAAACTGTTCTTTAAGGCTATAAGGCTATATAACACTTGAATGCTTTCAGCACGAGTTGAAGGATACACGCTGGTCCAACTTAGCTAAGTTTCTCCCACTCGTGCAGGCTCATATTGTCAGCGGACAACTTACATAAAATTGAGAGCAAGGCGTAAAACGAAAAGCTTTTAATTTTTTATGCGAAGACCGCTGAAAAACTGAGCCCTCTTTACCGGGAGAAAATTTGCCGAATATGACCAACGTGATATAACACATGAATCGCTTATGAAGACAAGTTTAAGCTTCTGTCATCCGCATTTACTGCTCGTCTTCTTCTTCCTCCTCAATGACAGCATTGCCATTTACGTTTTCCAAAGCCAGTAACGCAGTGGTAGCCTATAAGAAAAATGGCCAGTAAGATAAACTAGCGTCTAGCGTACTCTGCATCAAGCCACAATATACACGTAGCCTACATAAATATATTTCACTGCATGTATATCAACTATACTAGCAATAAAAGGCACAATAGTGACTCGTCCACCGTTCTTTGAAAGAGTCTCCAAACAAATCATGACTTATTGCAAGGCTTTTTTTTTGTTTTCAGTGATCTTCGTTTGAGATCATGCATGGATTTGCCCGTTGGAATGATTCTCAGTGGTCTGAATTCGTTGGAGCTCATGGACGTTGTTTCACTTTTCAGTAAATTTCTTAATATAGGAGGACATTTTTATACTTTTTAATTCAGTTCAATCGTTCACAACGTCCTATACAACTTTATAATTTTACGAAAAGGGGTGGGAGAAACAACTCTAATAACACATCGAATTAACTCCAAACAGCATTTGATCGCTGACTATATATACGCGACAAGCACATGCAACTATACATGCGATTGAATGTCGAAATAATACAGCTGCCTCGTTGAAATGATATTGAGTGATTGAAGTAAGTCTTTTGGAACAAAACAAGTACGTGTTTTTTTTTATGTCATGGATGTCATGCCAGTTTTATGTTATATACTAATTTCAATACCGCAAAGTCATTCCACGCTTCATTTCTATATAATCTCGGCTAAACGGTCTTTAAACATTTATATAACACGAAAACAATTTCTTAATATCATTAAAGCATTTAAAGAATAAATGTAGCCCATAAAATTAAAAGCACTTGTCGTGACGCACTCGCAAGCCATGTAGGCTGTGTATAGGTAGAAGTGAAGCCCGGCTTGCCAGGTTGGCACGGTTGCAATGCTCTACTTTCACGATTTTAACTGTGGTACCCAAAAGTAGCGGTATTGTGATCGTGACAAAAAAGTATTTCAACTTTTATATATGTATAAACATGCTTGAGGACGTGTTCGCAGTTCGTGCTTCTGATTTTTTGAATGCCGGAGGTTAAAAAACCCGGCATGCACAAAGTGTTATTAGAAGTTCAGAACAGCAATTTAACATATACAACCTGTTGACGATTTAACCATATATACCGGCAGCCTTGTAATTCCTCTTGGAGTCTATCAATATAGTGTTGATGGAGGTAATAGTACAAGAGTAACCAGCGGCACCTTATTTTTAACGTGTCCAATTGAGCATTACTAGCATCTCGTTCTAAAATTGCTGCATCTTTTTCAACAATTGCGCTGTTGACCGCTGCCTCCTTTTCCACGACTGTTCGGTCCTTTTCCACGATTGTTCGGTCCTTTTCCACGATTGTTCGGTCTTTTTCCACGATTGTTCGGTCCTTTTCGGCAATATTTGCGTCTTTTGTAGCAATTTCTTTGTCTTTTGCAGCAATTTTTTCGTCTTTTTTAACAATTTCTTCGTCTTTAGCAGCAATCTCTACGTCTTTTGTAGCAATTGTTTCGTCTTTTTCAGCAATTTCAACGTCTTTTGTAGTAATTTCTTCGTCTTTTTTAGCAATTTCTTCGTCTTTTGTAGCAATTTCTTCGTCTTTTTCAGCAATTTCTACATTTTTTGTAGTAATTTGTTCGTCTTTTTCAGCAATTTGTTCGTCTTTTATAGCAATTTGTTCGTCTTTTGTAGCGATTTCTTCGTCTCTTTTAGCAATTTCTTCGTCTTTTTCAGCAATTTGTTCGTCTTTTGTAGCAATTTCTTCGTCTTTTGTAGCAATTTGTTCGTCTTTTTTAGCAATTTGTTCGTCTTTTGTAGCAATTTCGTCGTCTTTTTCAGCAATTTGTTCGTCTTTTGTAGCAATTTCTTCGTCTTTTATAGCAATTTGTTCGTCTTTTGTAGCAATTTCTTCGTCTTTTTCAGCTATCTGTTCGTCTTTTTTAGCAGTTTGTTCGTCTTTTTAGCGATTTCTTCGTCTCTTTTAGCAATTTGTTCGTCTTTTTCAGCAATTTGTTCGTCTTTTGTAGCAATTTTTTCGTCTTTTTCAGCAATTTTTTCGTCTTTTTCAGCAATTTGTTCGTCTTTTTTAGCAATTTGTTCGTCTTTTATAGCAATTTGTTCGTCTTTTGTAGCGATTTCTTCGTCTCTTTTAGCAATTTCTTCGTCTTTTTCAGCAATTTGTTCGTCTTTTGTAGCAATTTGTTCGTCTTTTGTAGCAATTTCTTCGTCTCTTTTAGCAATTTCTTCGTCTTTTTCAGCAATTTGTTCGTCTTTTTTTACGATTTCTTGGTCTTTTCTAGTAATTTCTGCGTCTTTTTCAGCAATTTGTTCGTCTTTTGTAGCAATTTGTTCGTCTTTTGTAGCAATTTCTGCGTCTTTTTCAGCAATTTGTTCGTCTTTTTTAGCAATTTCTTGGTCTTTTGTAGCAATTTCTGCGTCTTTTTCAGCAATTTCTGCATCTTTTTTAGCAATTTGTTCGTCTTTTGTAGCAATTTCTGGGTCTTTTTCAGCAATTTCTGTGTTTTTTTCTGCGTTTTTTTTGCGAGTGCTCGGTCTTTTTCAGTAATTTGTGTGTTTTTTTCAGCAATCTCTTTGTCTTTTTCAGCTATTTTCTTGTCCCATTCCTGCAGGATGTCTTTTACTTTCAGAAGAACAGCATGGTCATTTTGTTGTTCGTTCTTAAGGAAAGAAGAAAGAATAAATATCAACTTTAGGTAAATGGTTGAAATAATTTATAATTAAATAATTTAATAATTTAAGTTTATATAGAAAAAACGCAGGCATATGCATGCCTCAGTAATATGTGAACCAGCATTTAAAGTTCAGTTAGTTCCGTTAACTCTCGTGGGTTTCCGTGTCTTAAATTATGAAATACAATTGAAAAGAACAAATGAAATAACTGACAGAGAATTTCTAACGGAACTTGTTATCAACCAAGTAATCTTTAAATATGTTATAATGTTATAATATGCTATATATACCTGCCGTAACTTGAATTCCAAAAAAAATATATCTTTCTTCAAATTTGCTATTTCATTATTTTGATTCTGCACTTTTTCCCAGCAAATCGTAACCTTTAAATTGTAATATACGAAATTATAAGCACGTGCTAGTTGTCAGAATCAGTGTTATTAAAAGTTTTTACCGGGGAAGGCGTGGGGGAAATGTGACATGCACCCTCGCGATTTACCATGATAAAAACTTGTCACACGTCAAATTGCTTAGTTATTGGACAGAAAAATACAGCATCAACTTTGAGTAAGGCTAGTGATACTGTCGAAGCCAACAGATAAGTGACCGAAAGCTTGTTTTCAATAAATTTATATCCAGCATGGTCAGATAACGCGATATTTTTATTTATCAGGCTGTTTACAGATATATATAAATTATATAATTACCTCTTTCTGTGTGAATTCCGCTTCCTTCTGCGACTAAAACATGTGAATTAGAAGAAAGTGCTACAAGGTTTTCAAATCATTTCTTGGTCACAGATTATTAAATGAAAAAGGCCACCAACATTACGTTGGACGTTATACGCTCTATACAGGGAAGAATGAACCATACAACTTTCCTAGCCTATTTCTTTTCTTGTGTGCTCGAGTTATGGTGTGTTTCGATATGATATATATATATATATATATATATATATATATATATATATATATATATATATATATATATATATATATATATATACTATAAAAACCTGTTTGTTTTAATACAACTCAAAAACCACTGACCTGAAAAAACTACATTGCATGCAAGCAGGGCTAACTTAGATTTTGATATATAACACTAAATATAACTGATACGATGTTGACGGAGATACAAGCATTTGATGTCCCAGGTACTTTAAAATTCGTGAAAATATCGACAAGAATCAGCTATTAAATTAATTTGAAAATACTTGCCACTTCTCTTGGAAAGTTTTTAACTTTATATAGTGATTTTAACTTTAACTGTTGGCTTTACCATTGAAAACTTACTTTTAAAACTTAGTAAGAATTACTCTAAAGAATTTAGAAACCTCAGAGAACTTTGACAATTGCCAAGGAACCTTAAAGAATTGCGCGAAACAATCGTTTCTGCTTGTGAATCTTTGAATCGAGAAATGATCCAAAACGCTTTTGACTGGCATGATATCTAGAGCACGAAGGTGCATTCAGGCTCAAGAAGACGCTTTTCCTGATGAGTAAACTGTACTTGTTAATCATTTTGTAAATAAAAACACATCATTTTAGAAAAAGAATCAAAAAGTAAACTAAGACAAACAAGTGTGATGGTGCGTGCATGTCGTGGTACTCTGTGCCTAAAGCACAAATTTGAATCCTATGAGAAGGTCACCTTATATTTTTTTCTGCATAGTATTCATCCGTCATTATAAAATGAATTTACTACATGCAGTACGACTATAAGTGCAATAATACAATTACCTTTTGTTGATGGTATGCGTTGTCCGCTTCCAAGAAAGAAATTTTTTCCTCTAATCGAGCTGTCTTTGCCTTTTCTAGTTCCAACTAAATCAAGAAATAAAACAACACGCTAAATAAAATAAAATTAATCGTCACTTAGGCTATCAAATATAGTCCCCCGTTATTCAACCTCATGCACTTATATACTGTTTAATGCAGTACAGTTTATAAGACAATTTTGCATGAGAAATTTACTGTTAGATTGTTCTAAACGAAGACCGTTCAGTGTCTTTGTTTCATCCAGGATCTGTGAGCACGCAGTCAGCCTGAATCAACTCAGAACAACATGCTCACAGATCATCATGCACGTACATGACAAACAAGTGGCACTCACTCCATCCGTGTGACACTTTCCAAAACACCAAATTGGTTACATTCGCGACCGAAACATTAAATATATTTACGTCAAATACAACAATTTTTTAGTCAATGGACCGTATAAGAAAGCCACTGTTTTAGCATTTTTCTATATATCAAAATCTTTCGACACTATTGTGTATATTTGTATAGATCACATAATTCTTTTCGGAAAGGTACAATTGGTGCATGTGTAGATCTTCGCCGGATTGCCTTTAAAGTTACCTTTCAGGAAGAGGTAATTGGATAAACAAAATTAACATAAGTATAAATGATTGTATTTGTGGAATGTATACTATAATGCAGGACGCCGAAACTGATGGGCTATATAACACGGACAGCCAACCCTATTGCCTTTTACCAGCACGGATTGTTCTGCAATTTGTTAATATATCGAACGCCAGAATTAATGCAACTAATGGGGCTTAAGAAATGCACAATCGACTGGTGGTAAGAAATGTTCACATAATCGATGATCCCAGTTCACATGATCGATGATCCAGTTCACATGATCGATGATCCATGCATGCAGTTCACATGATCGCGCGAGTTAATTCCCCACCACCTACATCAATCCTGTCCCAATCTACATCTTTTGATGGTGTATATAGGAAAGGCAGTTTATCTACATTGGCTTTCAGAAGAATGAAAGGAACAACTCCACCTTATTTTTGTGAAAAACATATATAAATATGTCAGAATGATCTGGAAATAGATTCTGGAAAGCCCTTACGGGAGGATCATTACAGGATATCAATCCCCGAGTAATAATAATAGGTTTAATATTCGTTGAAAGAAGTAAATTAATACAAGTCTTTCCCTTTGACTGTTTTTTGGCTAACGAAGTATTTGAAAACCATTTAAACTCGGTTATGAAATGAATTTCTGAACTTCACACCGTGCAGTATTTCCTTTCGCGGTGATGCGAGATAGTGAAACTGCGTTGCCTAAATAATTTCACAATTTTCCCATCAAAACCAAGAGAAAAAAGTCACAAATGTATTAAAGAGCAGTAAACTGTGCACCAAAAATTATTAGACAACTAAATAAATTGCAAAATAATAAAAAAACCGTGTTTACAATACGTTACGTAACAGGAACAGGCCTAGACATGACTGATTAGACTGAAGCAAAGTTTGACGACGCTTCTGAAAATCATATATGGCAACATTTCACGAAAAGCCTAAATTTTTTAGCTAAAGCCCTGTGCTAAAGCTCAATCAACTAGGCCCAAATTGGTAGTTACTCGGCCTACATCAGATCTGGTCCGTACATAGTTGAACGAGATCTTCACTCGGTGTTGAACACTAAAAATCGTCGACGCGAGATAGTGAAACTGCGTTGTCTAAATTATTTCACAATTTTCGCATCGAAACAAAGAGAAAAAAGTCGCGAATGTATTAAAGAGCAGTAAACTGTGCACCAAAAATTATTAGACAACTAAATAAATCCCAAAATAATAAAAAACCGTGTTCACAATACGTTAGGTAACAGGAACAGGATAATTAGGACATGCATGATTGATTAGATTGAAGCAAACTTTGGCGACGCTTCTGAATCATGGCAACATTTCATGAAAAGCCTAAATGTTTCAGCTAAAGCCCTGTGCTGAAGCTCATGCCAGGCCCAAATTGGCTGTTAGTCGGCCTACGTCAGATCTGGGCCGTATATAGTTGAACGAGATCTTCACCGGTGTTGAAAAGTGAACACTGCATGCTTTATATAGAGTGCTTGCGTTGTCGCCTAAAAATCCCACCAAGGACCGTAGGTGTTTTTCTAAATAAGATGTTTTTGTGTCTTTATTCGCAAGTTCGCAACAGCCATTCAGACCATTCATATAAAATTATTTCGTCCTATATTCCCATTCGTTTGAAGACGCGCATATAAGTTAAATAATATATAAACAATATTCTCTTACCGGTGATGGCGATGCAGAAACACTTATGCTGCTGCTTTCCATTTTCCAAGGGTATACCAGTTGCTTTCGTACGTACGCGTCGACCGACTAGGAAATGCCTATTTATTAATTTGAAAATCTATTTGGCACTTCTTTATCGTTAGAAAATGATAGTTCACTGTCAGCTGTCACTGATGACTGACTAGCTCTATCTCTTTCGCTTTCTTTTATACCAAAAATTTCCTTCAATTTCCTAGAAATGGATGGTATTTTCCTTGAAATCTCCAGCGAAATGAAACAGCGAATGAAAATATTTGTCGGTTTTTAATTTGCAATCTACAAGCGATCTATAGAACTGCTTCAAAAAGATATATCAACCTGAATCGTTTTATCGACCCTACGTACTGAAAAACTCAAATTTGTGTGATTACGAGCAAGATAGGTAAAACCCCTTTTATAACAGAGATCAAAGGTTTGATACATTAGGTTCACGTGAACACTGAACAGGGATCTATTTATACGGTGTGGGTGCACGTGGACAGGATTCACGGGGCAGATATTGTTTATCATGCGAACACGATCACTGATCATGTGAAAAGGCCAACAGGGTTATAGCTACCTCCTCCGCAGACGCTAGGGAGCATTTCGGGCGATTTTGGAAAATGCGGATATTTTGAAAAATATCACCGCCCGCCATATTTGCCCGAAAAGAGCCTGCGGAGGAGGTTACGTAACAGCGTAAATGGAGGAGGTAAGTGAACAGCGTAAATGAGAGATGACTACTAATAGAAGTATACGTATGTGTGAAATGTTTCAATATATAACACCTTATTAATTTATTAATTAGGTGTTTTTAGAGTTAATAGTACATGGTTTAGAGACTAAATAAAAGTACAATACAACTCATTACCTATGTTATTGTCCAGGTTTATGCAAAAAATGGTTCCTTTCTCGTCGCGTGTCTATTGAATTTTAGCCAAACTTACCAGTGGCATTCGTCTTGCTAAGCTCCTCAACCTTGACTTGAAAAATATGTTAATTATAAGATTGCTATTGGTTTATCTGTGCAAAATACAATAGACATGTGATGAGAAAGGAACAATTTTTGCATAAATCCACCTCAACATAGTTAGCGAGTTGTATTGTATAGTTTTATGTGGTCTCCAAACCATGTATATTCTATTAACTGTGGGTGTTTTCGATCGCGTGATATTAAATAGAAATTTCTATTTTACTGACGGTACAATGTAAGCTTCCACTGCACCGACGGTCTAAGCCCGTGCAACGTTCTTTCCATTACACTGTTGCTTTTAATAAACTCAACCACTCACAGAAGAATGGTTGAGAAGAATTTTTCCTCCACAAATACCCTCTCTAAGAAAACCTGTCATCTTTTTTTTTTCATAAGTGGCTCTTACAAATTGTTAATATCCTGGTGGCCAGCAAACCCAAAGCCCAGCCGTTGCAAAAATTGCAACAGAGCCATTGGCCATACATATATCAAACTTAAACTTGATGGACGTCGCCCGTGAACGCAAGCAAGCGCTTGAACTTTAGCAATTTTTGAGTACAACTATTCTAGAGTCCAGACCAGGAGTCAGTGTACGACGCTCGTAGATAAGTAAAATGAAAAGCAATTTAAAGCACTGATCGCAAAAACCTGAATTAAAACAGAACACGGCTAGTAATAGAACTCAGATTATTGAATAATCATTATTGCTATGGCCAAAATAGTAGATCGAACTACAGCAGATAACGATTACATAAATGCTCTTATATATAGTTTAAGAATTAGGATTACCTCTTAAAAGCATCAAGATCGCTTACACGATCTATGGCTTCAGTAGTCATCGTGGTCATTGCGCAACGAAATTCCATTGGCAAATCCAATGAAGCTATCTATATAGGCGAGCCGGTCGATCGATATATATGATCCACACCTATTTCAAGTCTTGTTGTTGTCAAATTGGTCTTTTGCTAGTCTTAAAAGGCTAAAGAACTCACATGTATGTATTTTGGGTATAGAGAAAGTCTTCCCATGCATGGTTGGAATAGCAACCGCGGGTTTGGCAAAATTTGCATGCATTGTTCAAAATTTGCATGTTCATGCACTCAGGCGCATTAGCTTAGTTGGAAAACACAAGGGGTCAGTCAAGGCGATTGCTAAAACAAAGAAATGGCAAATCACAATTGCAAAGAAACGGAGCAGCGATGCATTTTAAGAAAATTAAAATGAAAGATATTTCAAAAGAAAGATATTTCCAATTTGTTGTTTACACAACAAATTTACAATGATAGTCGTGATTTTTAGTCGTGGATCGAAGCATTTCGAGTCTATTTGTGTCTATACGATGTTTGAGGATGAGTGAATTCATGCACGTATAAGAAAAAGGCAAAAACTATATACCACATATTATTCACAAATTTATTTAGCTGTGATTTTACAGTTAATTCTCAATCATTTTTGTTTTGAACCAAAGTAACCGGCCACTATTTGACCATAGGCATATAGGTGGTGTGCAACTATTCTCGTGCATGGGACTTATATAAGGGCCTTATATAAGACAAAGACATTTTCACCATGTTGGATGACATTTGAATTGTAAAAGAGAAAATTCTTTGTTAAAATCATCCAACATGGCGACGATGACGAAACGTGCACACCACCTATATAGCTCACTTACAAGTTACACCGAGTTAGTATAATACTAAAATACCAAAATACTCTTCGAAATAAAAAATCTTCAAAAGTAAAGGACTGTTTGCACGATCACGCTTATCCGAGTTACTCAAAAAGTGAAAAGATTTTGAGCTATATTAAACTTAAATCTTTACAAAACTAAGAAAGCTAGTGCTTACAACAGTTTCAGTACACAAAAATATATATTCACAAGAATTAGTGCTCATTTTTCAACTAAAAAAATACTTAATACTCAAGACGTTTTATGTTTCGTTTAATCTCGGATAAACGGCATAATGTAAACTGTCTCTAATATATATATATATATATATATATATATATATATATATATATATATATATATATATATATATATATATATATATATATATATATATATATATATATATATATATATATATATATATATTTTTTTTTTTTTTTTGAGTGTTTTCAGCTCCTAATAATTGAGCTGCAATTTTATCCCAACGCGGAATGCCTCACTGTCATATGCATAGTAATGACACGACGGTAAATTGATAAAGAAAAGCCTTGCGTTGTTAGCTGAATTTTATGGCGTCAGCAGTTGAAAAATATGATAGTTCAAGACGCTTTAAATGAGCGAACGGACGCGTGAGATAAAATTACACCTTAATCAATAGGCAGCTCTGTCCAGAAGATTCGAAATATATTGGTATTTTCATTTCTTTACAAAAATGTGTTACTCTGTGAAAACCAGCTCTATTATATTATTCATTCGTTATTCATTAATTATATTATTCAATATTATTATATATACCACTTGTCAAAGTTTGGTGTTCGAAAAGGTGTTCGTTATATACCACTTTGACAAGTAGTATATAATAAAAAACTTATTTGCCGAGAACTCAGAAAACATTGTGTGTTGTGGACCCTCGACCATCGATATCTCGACGTAATATCGACAGGACTCGTGTCCACAAAACATGTTGTTATATGGATGCTGTGTATTTTAAATGTTATTGGTTCAGTCGTAGTCACATGACTTTAAATAAATGCAATGTTTCCCGCCAGGGAAACAAGTGAAAAATTGTCGCCCGCTTCTTGCCATAACAAAGTAAAGTGGGGTTTTTAAATGAAATTGTTGTGTAACATGTATGTTTTTGTTCCAAAATATAACAAAGCACTTAATGTACACTATACCTCGGGAAATAGTGAGTTTTGTTTTCCCTCGAGTCTCAATATTTCCTTCGACTTCGTCTCGGGAAACATTCAGACTCTTGGGAAAATAAACCCCACTATTTCCCTCGGGAGCATATACATTAAGTGTATAATGTTTCCTTCGGTCGCAGCAAATAAGTGTTAATTATTTCCCCTTCATCAATAATCGCGTGATAACTTCATTGCTTTCGACTTAGAGTTTTCAACAGTTAAATATATTGCAAGGTTAACTCCCATGAGCTATGCTCAAAAATGCAAACCGTCCTTTTTCAACACATTCACTATTTTTTTTATTTTGGAAAATAATTTGAGAAACAATAAAGTTGTGACGTAATTATTTGACGCGTTCATTATTACTACAACCAACTTACAAATGATTAAACTTTAAATATACCTCCCCGTTACTCACTTTTTCTCTTACCACTAATGACCTCGTTGGGTGACAGACAAAATAATATTTGCTTTATACGTCGAATTTTGGTCGCTCCGAATGCAATTAAGACAATTAGAATGCATAATAAACCTCATTAACTACGATTACGTCTACTGTTTAAGTTTCAGGAAAGCTTGAAAACCAAAGCCTCGGTAAGGAGATAAGATTCAATTTTGGGCATGCTTGCTCTTTATCTCTCATTGAATTTAAGTAAGATATAAAACGGCAGGTAAGTCGAAACGTCGAGAAGTGTTTTGTCTATTTTAGGCAGTTCTTATACCACATTTGATGCGAAATTTTCGTAGAAGACGCTGCTCTGTAATACGCTGATTTATATCCTTTCAAGAAAGACCCAAACTATATATATCATCTCATGTAAAATCAAAGCATGTGGTAATTTGAGAAAAAGTGAATAGACGGTTAGGTCATCTGGTAATAATCGTGATTATGTTTACTCTATTATATAGCTAACACACATTCACTAATTTCTAACCATGTATAAATTAACAAGCGCGCCCAGCGCGAAATCTAACGAAACACGCACTGCGAGTTTATTTGAACGCCTCATACTAATATCCAGTATAGGTCAGTGTTTTTCCCAGAAAAAGGTTCGTCAGACAAAGTTTCGCGTGAACGGATGTTCATAGCCTACCTTCAGGTCGATCCGTAATACCGATTCCCTAGCGCCTCTCAATCTGCTGCAGGGATTATTCCAAGGAAATTTTATGACCGCGCAAAATCGCAAGAAATGGTAAAATTTACGCAAATACAAAGTTGTGCCTTAATAAAAAGCTCTAGTTGCCCTGTATCAACATAAGAACACGTGTTGATTCGGCAACTCAGTTTACTTCATTTACCACAATACCGCACTGCACATGCAGAATTCTCTTAGAACTGCATGCACATTAATTATCATTGCACCTTAGCCCTTAGGGCCTGTTTACATAGAGCGAGTTATCCCGGCTAGGCGAGGTGAAAACTGCATATAATGAAAGACTAATCAGGTTAAGCCTTTGATGTGATACGCTTTTTACCTCGCCCAGCCGGGATAACTCGCTCCATGTAAACAGGTCCTTAGAAATAATCCCTGGTTCTGAGGCACTTGAAGAATGGTTTTGAACCTCCTATTTGGTATACAACATATACATGCATATATTTAACATAAATTAACATACATATATTTTTTTAAATCAACTTCAACTCCTTTCGCGAAAGGTAAACATCAATTTTTTTTTCTTTTTTTTTTCTTTTGAAAGGTTGATTATGCCTCTTTACGGCTTTTCATTTTTTTGTGTTTTTTTTTGCCAACTCATTCTCACAGCGCTATATTTTGCGCTACATTCAAACAAAGGAATAACTATACGAAATGTACTCAAAGAGCTATGCATCCATGAGCTATGCTCAAAGATGCAAACCATCCTTCTTTTGAAAGCTCGATTATGCCTGTTTGGCTTTTCATTTTTTTGTGTGTTTTTTTGCCAACTTATTCTCACAGCGCTACATTTTGCGGTATTTTGCGCTACATTCAAAGGAAGTATACGAAATACGAACAATAACAATTCAAACGTGTCGAAACGAGCAGTGCCACGATTACACGCAGCCCTATTTTTGGGTGTGCATGCGGGCGATACATATGTTGCGGGTGTATTGTATACAAGTGCTTATATATAATTCCGACATACCGTAGAAAACATTAACCGCTTTTCGCAAGCCTATGCATGTATCCGACATATGGTAAATATTACACAAGAACGACTATATTCTAAAAACCATTTCTACATGCACTAAAAACCTAAAGCACTAGTTAAAAGTCTATGTCTAAAATGTCCTAAAAAGCTAGCTACCATAGGCAAATGTTCACTACAATGTTCTAAACACATATGAAGATTTACTACAGGATACGCCCTTTCTCATAACAATACGAAACATACAATATTACTTACATCTAAATATCTGTGCTTAAAGACCATCTAGGATAGCTGTGCACTATATTAATGTTTCAAATACTGAAATGTATTAAATACCTTACCCTTAAAATGCGGCATCAAATTTTCAGTACTCAAAATGTCAACTGCCTTGGCTTCGCCATTACTAGTTGCGGTGCTGTCCAACGATGGTGCTTAAACATGCATTCATATAAATTAACAGCCAAATTAATCATTCGCCTCTGGAAAGTGGTCATTCTCTTCAGCACGAGGTGCAGCAACAACAGGCGGCTACAATGGAGACAGTTTAGGTCACGCAAGGAAATACGAATATAACAAACGAATCTCTTTTATAACCCATTTTAACTAACTCATAACTCTACCCAGGAAACCTAAACTATTCGGAAATTGGCAGGTGCAAGTCAGGGCGGTAGGCTTAACTGTGTATTCATACATTCGTTTCATGCCCGACTGATTTCTTTTGTACGCTATTGTTAACGTTCCTACGCGGTAATAAACATTAATATATGAATATACAAGCGGTTTAGCTACGGCCTTTGGTGCAAGTAATCTTTTCTCAAAGCGACAGCAAACTCACATTATTTTCATTAGGCAGCTGTTGTTGTGGTACTAAGTTTCGTGTTCTGTTGATCTAATAAAAGAAACGAGCTGCAATGACGCCGAATGTTTGTTGATTGGAATCATGGAAAAGGTGAAGGTTCTTTTCAACGGAATCGCATCGAAGCTTAAGGAATCTTTTCAAATTAAAGACATTACTTAAAATACGCGGTTACAAAACGTTGCGAGGTGTTTAAACTAAAGATACGAAAATAAACTGTGTTTGCGATTTGCGAAGACGTATCGTTATTATTTGTTTCTTCTCCATGTTTCTTCTCGTTTTCTATGTGTGATAGCGATCATTTACGCATGCGTGAAGTTTGATAAGACTACAAGAAAACACACAAATGCCTACCATAAGTCGAAACACTTGACGCAGAGCTCCATCGTATTGTACGCGATCTTCATGATCCAGGAGCGATATGTGTAACTGCACAAGAGTCTCCGACATTTCATTCAATCTCGTTTTGTAAAGATCAATCTAGACACAAAGAGCTTCAGTTTTTTACATCCACCAAGACACAAATTCCTTTACAGAGGAGAACTTCAAGAAAACCGAAATGCACGTATATTAAATATATTAATGATCACTGAGTTAAATGGCTAGGTTTTAAAACTAGAAATGTAGTATCTTAACTGGGGAGGGGTTATATAAGCGCTATAGTTACGTGAACAAAACCAAATTTTCTGCTCGATGGAGGTAAATTATCGATTATCGATTAGATTTTCTTACCGGATGAAATAACCCAGAATGATATGATAACGTACCTGTTCCTCTTGTTGCTCCACTTGTGAATACAAGTCATCCCTTATCTTTAGCAGATTAGTTTTACTTATTTTCGATTCATCCAAAGCACGTTTGACCTAGACGAACATTTGCAGATAAACATGGTACAGACTATGGTATAATAAAGGTTTCAGTGAAACTATCGATACAATGTATTCCGGTTCAATCAAGTACAGTAAAGGTCTGTTCACACGATCCAATTTTGTTGGATCCAATTCACTTCTGACGTATGAAATATAGTCAGTTATTGATAAAGCAGTACTGCATTTGCTGCCCATAAACATTACAATTTTTCGTCCAGATTGCCGTTTGGTTTTTCATGCAAATGGTGTGCATGCAAAATAGGGAATTACCGCGGTGTGTATATATCAATGAATATTATTTACCTGTTGTTCTAAGTCTTGCTTCACTTTCATCAAACCATCTATAGTTGTTTGCATCGCTGTGATTTCTTCTTGCTTTTCACGTAACATCTCCTCACACGCTGCGAACTGTAAAACAGAAAGCCGTAAGCATCGAACGTGTTATTTCACTCCATCTATTGACTATCGTTAATAGACTGTTATATCCGACAGTTGAAAATTACTAGCAGTGAATAGTAGATGCAATCAGAAACAACAAATATTTAGCCGTTGTTCTGACTCAATTGAAACTTCCTCCTTTAAATGATCTATAAATAAATTAAATGCATTTGCAATTCTTGTTTTTCATGCAAATGGTGCTGACCGCTATAACAGGGAATTAATGTGATTCATATTATTTACAATTATTTACCTGTTGTTCTAATTCTTGCTTCTCTTTCATCGAACCATCTATAGTTGTTTGCATCGCTGTGATTTTTTCTTGCTTTTCACGTAACATCTCATCACACGCTGCGAACTGTAAAACAGAAAGCCGTAAGCATGTAGACGCGTTATTTCGCTCCATCAAGGATACTGATCAGTTGAAAATTACTAGCAGTGAATAGTAGATACAATCAGAAACAACAAATATTTAGCCGTTGTTATGACTCAATTGAAACCTCCTCCTTCAAATGATCTATAAATACATATTTGCACCTCTTGTTTTTCATGTAAATGGTGCTGACCGCTTTTACAGGGAATTAATGTTAAAAACTATTATTTACCAGTTGTTCTAATTCCTGCTTCTCTTTCATCAAACCATTTATAGTTGTTAGCATCGCTGTGAGTTCTTCTTGCTTTTCACGTAACATCTCATCACACGCTGCGAACTTTAAAACAGAAAGCCGTAAGCATGCAAACGTGTTATTTCACTCCATTTATTGCATGAATATCGTTACTAGACTGTTATATCCGTCAGTTGAAAATTACTAGCAGTGAATGGTAGATGCAATCAGAAACAACAAAAATATTTAACCGTTGTTCTGACTAAATTGAAAGTTCCTCCTTTAAATGATCTATAAATTAAATGCATGCATTTGCAATTTTTGTTTTTCATGAAAATGGTGCTGACTGCTTTTACAGGGACTTAATGTAAATAATATTATTTACAATTATTTACCTGTTGTTCTAAGTCTTTCTTCTCTTTCATCGAACTAATTACAGCTGTTTGCATCGCTGTGATTTCTTCTTGCTTTTCACGTAACATCTCATCACACGCTGCGAACTGTAAAACAGAAAGCCGTAAGCATGCAAACGTGTTATTTCACTCCATCTATTGACTATCGTTACTAGACTGTTATATCCGTCAGTTGAAAATTACTAGCAGTGAATAGTAGATGCAATCAGAAACAACAAATATTTAACCGTTGTTCTGACTAAATTGAAAGTCCCTCCTTCAAATGATCTATAAATTAAATGCATGCATTTGCAATTTTTGTTTTTCATGAAAATGGTGCCGACCGCTTTTACAGGGAATTAATGTGAATAATATTATTTACAATTATTTACCTGTTGTTCTAAGTCTTTCTTCTCTTTCATCAAACCATCTATAGTTGTTTGCATCGCTGTGATTTCTTCTTGCTTTTCACGTAACATCTCCTCACACGCTGCGGACTGTAAAACAGAAAGCCGTAAGAATGTGAACGCGTTATTTCACGACATCTATAATATCTACATATCAGCAAGTCTGTGGCAATAATATATGCAAGTATAATATATGGTATAATAACAGCAAGTCTGTGGCGTTTCTGGCTGTGTAGGTCTAGAATACCGGTCAGTTAAAAATTACTGGAAGTGAATGGAAAAAGCAATCAGACCCACAATGAATAGACCTTTCTTATAATGACGTCAAACGCGGAAAATCTGATGTTACACGAAATTTGATTGGCTTGATAGTTTTGTGCAGCCAATCAAACTTCGTGTAACATCAGACTAACGTTTGACGTCATTATGAAAAAGGTCTATTCTGATGCTCCTTTTACCACAATATTAAATAGTCAATATATATAAGATTTGATTTAGTCGAAAAACATTTACCTGTTCTTTCAATTCAAGATTTTCCTTCTTTATGTTATCAATGGTGGATTCACACTATAAATGAGGTAGATGCACATTAAATTTAAGGCAAAAAGCATTTCATATGAAAGTCAAATTACTATTGTTAATTATATTTAGCTAGAGTCAGTGCTAGAGTGGACGAGGGGTCCAATCATCATCAATGCATGGATATTGCAATCATTGCAAAACTATTAATAAGAGTATTCGCCATTACACACTTACTTAATGTTACTAGTACCTACTATAGTACTGTGAAGTATAATAGTATGTTCAGTACCTTGTTTACCAAACTTACTCAATCAATTCTTACAAAAGAAAATTTAACTTCCACAAAATATTTACACATTATACTGACTCAAAAACTTCCGCATTCAAACGACCTATATTTTGTGCCCTTCGATTCGCGCTTCTTGTTTTTCATGCAAATGGTGCTGACCGCTTTTACAGGGATTTAATGTCCAAAAATATTATTTACCTTTTGTTCTAAGTCTTTCTTCTCTTTCATCAAACCATTTATAGTTGTTTGCATCGCTGTGAGTTCTTCTTGCTTTTCACGTAACATCGCTTCGAACTTTAAAACAGAAAGCCGTAAACATAAAAACGTGTTATTTCACTACATCGAAATCTAGGATACCTGTCAGTTGAAAATTATTGGAAGTGAATGGAAAAAAGTAAAACAATCAGAACCACAATTAATTCTGATGCTCCTTTTAGCACAATTAATATATATAAGATTTGATTTAGTTGCAAAAACATTTAATTTACCCGTTCTTTCAACTCAAGATTCTCCTTATTTGTGTTATCAATGGTGGATTTACACTATAAATGAGGTAGATGAACATTAAATTTGCGGCAAAAAGCATTTCATATGAAACTCAAATTATTATAGTTAATAAGTCTGTTAATAATATTTAGCTAGAGTGGATTGAGGGGTCCAATCATCAGGAATGCATGTATATTATCTGCTGCAATCATTGCAAAACTGTTAAGAGTATTTGCCATTACACACTTACTTAATGTTACTAGTACCACAGAGCATACAGAGGTTTGACCTTGCATTAATTATGCGTTCCTAGCGGCCATGTTGTTAGCCAGTGCGCTAAAGAGAGGCCCTATCCCCCCCCGAACATTATAAATAGCCATCGCTATATAAATAAACAGATCGCTCCCAATCCTATACTCTTCTAAAGGATAAGAACTAACAAAATCTGGTTTTGAAAAAAAAATTGAGCAATGTTTTTGTCAAAAATACGATTTCTCCAGATAGTTCTGTCTCGGCTGTTTGTATTCCATACATGTGTTCAAGCCGCCGCCATATGCATGCTTTCCTGGGGGGAGTAGGCCTCTCTTGAGCGCACTGGCTAAGCCAGGGGTACGCAAAATTAACAGCAGTCAAACCTCTGTATGCTCTGTGCTAGTACCTTGTTTACCAACCATACTCAATCAATTCTTATAAAAGAAAATTTAACTTCCACAAAATATTTACCCATTGTACTGACTCAAAAACTTCCGCATTCAAACCATCTATACTGGAAAATTTAATTTAGTTGCAAAAACATTTATACCTGCTGTTTTAACTCCAGATTTTCTTTCTCTAAATTATCTATATTCCCTTTCTTTGCCACTACTTCACGCAAAATGTTATCAATTTTTGATGCAAACTGTAAAAGATGCAATTTTTTTGTGAGGCCATCTATTTAGGTAGTCCAAATTTCATTATTCTCAAATCCTCCTGAGCCTGAAATCCTCAACTGATTGTTACCCTGAGTTGCATGACCTTACCAGTGACACACACCCCCTATGTCCCTATGTGCATGTCAGCTGTGACACACAGTCCCTATGACACCCTCTCAAACACCCCCACCCCTTAGCATGTGATGTAATTTGTCAAGTCAAGTATGTACAGCCCCTAACAATGTTAATGCATGTTTACCCTGTTTATCAAGTTAAGTCAGCCAATCATGCAATTCATTCTTACATAAGATTTTACTATGCAAAAACCATTTAATCACCATTTTTTGTGACTGATCAAGTTCCTTTTTCAATTGATCATTATGTTCCAGCACTGACTCTAGATTTTTTTGGCTTTTAAGCCAATGGCTGTTACCCTAAAAAGAGCATGTAAAACAACACATATTTAATTAAAGGCAAAAAGCATTTTACAAAGCATTTGAAACAATTAATATAACAGTTGTCATGGATATGATTCAATATAGTGATATCACATTATAAATGCATGTTTATTACCTCTTGTAATTCCAATTTTAAATGATATATCTCTTCTTGCATTACTAAGTTTTTTTGCTCTTCTTCATGAACCTTTTCCTCCAAATTTGTACACTAGTTAGTGGAATATATATGTACAAAATAATTTAGCTGTTTTAATTTGATTAAATTATTATCATTCTAAAATAATAAAATTATTTCAATCACTGGCTGACATGTGTATGTGTGTAAAACATTCTGCCATTTCCTTTGACATTTTTTTTCTCAGTAGGCAATGTGCATTTAATATATATACCTTTTCATTCAATGCCATGTTTTCATTTTGTTGCTAAAAATGCAATAAAAAGACAAAATATAATTGTCATGAAAGTTCTAATAAATATGTTTTCACGTAACACAATATTTACCTCTCTTATTTGCAGTGCTTTCTGATCTATGGTGTCCTGCATCGCTGCTTTTTCATGCCTTTCACAATGCAACTTCTCCAAGGAAATCTTCAGCTGTCAAAATGCAATATGTAATTAATTAAAAAAACAGAATTTACAGTTATAAGTATATTGATCAAATATGATATGCACCTAAGGTTAATACTTGTGACTTGTCTATATAGTCTAATATTAGGTGGATATTACACCAAAACATGAAGATTACCATGCAGGGTTACAGCTCCTTTTTTTGATCCATGGTCTTTAACTAATTGCCCTCAAAAATGTGTGGTACCCTAAGCCCTAGTATGTTTACTCTGACTCTAGGTTAAATACATGCAAAACAGAATTAATAAACTAGCTTATTACAAAATAATTCAAGTACTTATATAGGCACTGATAATATTTACCTCATCTTCCAAAGTAGCTGTTCTTCTGATATAAGATCCACTCAGAGCCTTTTGTTTAGCATTTTGATCAATTTGTGTTAAATGTTTTGTTGTCAAATCAGATATCATTGTCATCGCTTGCTCCATCTAAAACATGAGAAAAAGAACAAATTTTGGAAACATGCACCCTAGAAGTCCATTTTGTGTTGGACTCCAAAACGTTTTTGTTTCAGATAGTTATAGAAGTAAAGCAATTAAATGAAAAATCTTGTCCTTATATATTGTTTCAACATTGTTTGCTATAAACATATAAATATCATTCTTAAACATACCGCCCGTTCATTTCCATGGAAATTATTTTGTGCCTGCTTGTCCAGTGGTCCACTATCGATATATTTAGCACCCTAAAAACATTGTTAAAAGAATCACATACAAAGAAAGGCACAGCCAAGTCTGAGATTCTAAAACGATCCCTAGTGTCATTAGCATACACAAATAGAGCTTTGTACATTTGGCTTCACTATTACTTCCTACCACACGACACGCGGTTGTCATATAAATTTAATGGTCAAAAGGATGAAATATAAAGGGAAGTGTACGTGGGCACTAGAAAACAATCTTTTCCCCCTTGCTTGCACTGATATGTGAACCAGATATCACATTTATTGAGACAATTTAATTGTTATATCACTCGAACAGGGTCAAGGAAATTTCATTTAGCTATTTTGAAATGGATTTAAAAAAGAAAATCTCCGACTTATTCGCACTGAAAGCGAAAGAATTATGATTGTTGGCGTATGTCACACAATCGTTACAATTTTTAATAATGAAAAAACTACTATTTAATAAATGAACAAAAATATACGCCATTGGACAAGTCACAAAACGAAACTACGTAATAAAAATTATTATTTATTAATTGCGTAAAAACAGAACCAAACATTCGTAAAATGTGTAAAAATGTAGCAAACATTGTAGCAAAATTAATTAGACATAAAATAAAGCAAAATACTGCGCCACCAAAGGCAAAGAATAAAAAAACTACACCATTGAACTGCCATCTACATTCTACATACCGGGTGACTATTTAGATCTCTACTTGCAATATAGTCGTTTGGATATGCCATTGTACGAGCCTTTACGCAGTTATCTTACTATAAAACGCTGAATGGAATTCGAATTTCGAAAATGTATCTCTTGTTCCGACAACATAGAGAAGATCAGAAGAATTGACAAATGAGAAGTCAGGTGACAATAACAGCACCTCACCTGCAGTCTGTACTCTGTAGGATGGAGTGGGTGGAGTGCACTAATGAAGCGTGATTGGCTATCAGAGAACGAAAAGCACCAATCAGTAGCTTCTCTCGATGCATTTGATTGGTTTCTTTGATTTCCATGGGTCAATCAAACTATAAACTATAAACGTATATTTAGTTTAAGGATTTCGCCATAGCAGTTTATTTTTTAATTTTTCTTAACATTCATTCTATATTAGAAAGTCATATTAATTAATTCGTTCAGTTCTTAGTATATTCTGAAGAATACCCTTTTTCACATATTTACGGATCTATAACTTCACTATATGCAGGTCAGTTTGATTACAATGTGTCCAGGCACAAATTACAAAAATAAAATATTCATAAATAAACGACAAATTCATTTCGTGGGGCAACAAAATTGTTTTCATACGCAGACCATGTTCAGCTCTTCTATATAGGCATCAAGGCGGCCTTGGAAGATTTCGGACTTACGAACACACTGACCTCGAAATTAGAACTGGTTAGTGCGGCAAGTTGCAGATTTATTTTCTCAGTGACGTCATTGACATGGTTGTGCATCCAGTTCCATTTGGAGATCAACGATACTACAAATTCCTGAGACATTACGCTAATCCAAAACCTGAGAAGCTGATTGCTTGCTCCAGCCTCCAGTTTTTGCCTCGTCATTTCTTAGGTTGGATAACGCGGTAAATCCAGCAAGTTGAAACACGTGTATGAATCTTTATCTAAAGAACCAATGAAAACACAACACGGTGAATATTGCTATATTAAACCATTGTGCAAGAGCAGTAAGAGATGCACAGGAAATGCGTAAAAATGCAAAAGTTTATCCACAAAAGAGGCTCGTATAAAATTGCTTTCAAGCAGGAATTTACTTACATTTAAGCTCCGTATTCCTGTCAAAGGCACACGGTCGGTTCCCGTAAGAAAAACAGTTTCAAAACTAGTTGGAAAATGGGGGATTAGAGAGACATGCATTTCGCAAGATTTTCACGCATCACAATTGAGCACTGATCTCGCTTTACATTTTAAGCACCCGAGAGTTTGGCATAATAACAAAAGCTTGATTTTACAGTACTAGGGGGTACCCTTTTTTGATACACCCTGTATATAATCGTATTGAATCATGTCTTATTCGTTATTAAAAAGGTCCAACACGAGACGTAATACACATTTGACGATTGTGATACATTAATAAATATAGTTAATAAAGAAATCAATACGGCAGGCCCGTAGCTGGTCTCCACTTCTAGGGCTAAAAAAGTTTGCCGAGAGGTTACCTAAGTTTCTTAAAATCCAGTGGTATTTCCTGATTATTGGCTTATAACATGCTAATTTACGAATTGTCTATATAGTTAATAAAAATAAGGAGGAAAAAATTGTGAGCCGGAGGGCATAATGTCAATTTTACTTTCAAACGGGGGAAGCACTGTCCCCCAGGTCCTCCTCGGCTACGGGCCTGTTGAACACGGACGCGAATTTCAACAATTCAAAGCAATTATGAATTGGGGCTTAAACCGAAGTGATTATATTATATATGTATATTATCCCTTCTACAAAACTGTTTAAAACTAACAGTTTTCGACTATGTAATTGATACAAATTCAATTTAATATTTGCATGCACAAATTTATACGCATAGTCTCGTACGCTTGAGACTATGATTAAATATCTGAGACCAGAAAAATTATATTATATGGCTACGGGTACCCATTTTAGCCGTGTCGTGCCGATAAATTAAGCGTAAACAGAGCTGTGAGAGTTTCAGTTGAAAAGTAGCATAGTCAGAATACAAGTTCGAAACAAACAAAACCCGATTTCAAAGTAAGGCGGAGGATACGCAGTTTACTAGAAAAGGAAAATAGAAAAACTCGTTATAATGGAAAAAATCAATGAGAAGGGCAAGAAATGCCGTGAGAGGGTTGGTGAATTTGTTCGTGCGAACTGCAAATTCTGCAACGTGATTGGCTAGCGGAAAGCCTTTTGCCAATGACTTTTTTCACTGACCAATCACGATGCCGCCGGATTCTGCGTTTCACTTTGCGTCGCGCAAAGAAATTCGCTTAGCGAGGAACGGGCTCTAGACAAAAAAGGGCATACCACAAAAATTGCATAACTTCTGTATCAGATGTATCTCGGGAAAATAATCACCAGTATGGTTTCCTACACGACACGGTTGATAAATAAAGCAGTCAGGTAGGAAATAAACTTACATTTTCATTTCCATCCCCAAAAAATGGTGCCTGATAATAAGAAGTAATAATACGATTATACTATTGAAGACATGAAGTGTCACTACATCGTTAAAAAAACTTACACTTGGTTCAGGAACAACTGGGGATTCAGGTGGTTCAACTGGTTCATGATGCCTAACTATCCATTCTCGCAGTCCACCGATCTAACAGAAATAGATAACTGTCAACCTATGTTTTCCTTTACTGTCAAAGACAAGGACTCGCAAGAAAACCAACTTGTGAGTCCTGAACTCAACACTTACGATCTGTTGAAGCTCGTCTTGTAAATCTCGGGCGTCTTGTTCATGGCTTTCAAAATGAACGATTCTTTCCTCAAATCGTCCTAGCAATTGTTGGAGGACATCGTTGTAATCTTGTAAATTGTTTGCTCTCGTTCGTTCTTCTCCTATTCGAGTGTCTTTTTGTTGACACTGGAGCCTGAGGACAACCAATTCAACCATCTTTTCGTTGTACTAAAGCAGAGAGTATATCAGATGTGTACGCTGAAGGAGCATTGAACTCTTCGCAAAAAACATGTAAAATTATTGCCTAGTGCTTCAGTTTTCAAATAAGGACAATTTAGGAAACGCATAACTTTACTAATGTGATCTAAAATGGCGTTAAGGACTGGGGCTCGTTAGCTGAAATATGAGCGCGAGATCACATGGTAAAGTAACTCTATGTCTAGGCTCGTTCCCAGGCTCTTTAAAGTATTTCGCGGAGAAAGCACTAAGCGCGCGAAGGTGCTTGGGGAGGTTGCGAAGCACTTCAAAGAACCTGGGAACGAGGCTGACTCTATGATGATACCTGGGCACATCTCTAAACCCCTGTTGTACACATCTACAATTTCTTGATGGAAATTACTGACAATTGTACCTGTTCCTGTAATTGAGATACTTTTAGAGAAATATAATCCCGAATCTTGCGGAGATTCCGACATTTTATTTTCCATGGTTGAACAACTTGCGTCAGCTAAAAGAACATGACGATATGAAAAATTACTATATACGAAAACCAGTCTCGACTGAAATTTAAAGCAAACTTTAATCTTTATTGTGGAGTCCTGTTGTACAACACAGAACTCCTCTTCAACCTGTTCTAACTAATAAAAAAGTGTAATTGTTAACAACCACTCTGTTAGGGAAGAGCTAATAAAAAATCCCAGGCAGGGTAAGAACTGTTTACATGAGCCCAGACACCAGTTATAGCTAAGATTCAACAAAGCGTGATGCCGAGGATTCAAACATCGATTTCCGATACGAAATGCATGCTTCACATTATATATTTTTACGAAAGAAATGTATGTAGCTAGTAAGGGAGATATAGCTAGTAGTGTAGTATCCCAGAAATTTACCCTTCGTTGAAGCTGAGTTATAGCTTCCTTCTGAGAATCTATTTTCTTCTCCAAATCATAAAGACTTTCTGCCATTGCATTCAACTCTTCTTTATCAACTTGCCTCTCACATTGCAGGTCTCTTTCTGAAGCCTCCAACTGCATATTTAAAATACAATTAAAAAAGGACAGTTGTAGAAAAAGCATATTTATTTATTGATAGAACCATGATTTGTGCACAACAATAATATTCACTGTTCTTAATCTGTCACTGTATTTCATGTTTCAATCAGTTGGTGCAAGCAGTCAGTTGCCAATCACAACATTCTATGGTTTGTTAAGTAATAAAGTAATTTTACTTAAGTAGGTAATTCTAACTTCAAAACTATCACCTTATCTACTTTTTCTTTCAGGAATGTATTTTCCTCATCCATTTTAGCTAATTCTGATTGTTTAGCAATACGTTTTTCTTCAGATTCTTTTAACTATATTCAAAAAGTATAAATAGCAGATATGTGAAAGTATGTCATCTTAGCTTCACAAACTTTATGATCGCTCTATACGTCTATAACTAAAGAGAAACCTCAAATAACAGGATCTTCACATTGAATGGTTAGTGAGAGTAGCTCAGAGTTTACCTTTTTATGGAGCTCACGAATAGTTTTCTCCATAGAAACCATTTTCTTTTTAAAATCATCCATTTCTTTCTCCATTGTTGCCATTCTTTCTTTATCAATTTCACCTTTTTGTCTTTGAGTTGCTTTAAGAGCCTCCAACTAAATATTTTAAATTATATAAAAAAAATAAAAGTCAATTATTGTCAAAGCAAAATTATTTATCCCATTCAATAGTAGTTCATGCACAACAAAGGCATTCTGATTACTGTTGATCGAACAGCATTGTCTTCAATCATAGTATATTAAACACAGCAAAATAGATGGTATACAGTGTGATTGCAATTCTTAGTGAAATTACTAAAGATTCAGGTAGACTGTTAAATGTTAATAGTTGTTGTGTTAATTTTACCAGTTGAACAATGACATTGACAACAGTGACATGTTTCTAGGGTGTGGCCTTAACGTTCTGACATTTTCAGCATTCTATTTTTGTCACTTTCGTCAGCAACTTTGAATTTTGAACACCAACATTGAAGCCACACCATAGAAAGGTGTCAATGTGACAATTATTCATATTAAACGGTCTGGTCTGGTTCTGCTGCACCACCACCTCTTATGAGCATGAAACTACTCGAATAAGGCTTCTGGTTAGTCAGTAACCGAGAAGTTTATTTCTCATAACTTGATAAAAAAACTATCACCTCAGCTACTTTTTTTTTCAGGGATATATTTTCTTCCATGATTTTTGATAATTCTTGTTCTTTAACCTCACACTTTTCTGCATATTCTGTCAACTATTCAAGTATAAATAGTATATAAATAAATATATGTCCCAAAGGCTTTCCAAAAAGATATTCAATTGCTTGCTGCAGTGCAATTGGTCCATCACAAACAGTCAATTACTCAATAAATATTAAGTATACATTATTACCTTTTCCTCAGTTAGTTTTTCAGCTGTCTCGATGAGACCAATATTTTCTTTTGCCAATTTTTCATTTTCCTGTTTGTGTTATTTGGTATAAATATTTAATAGGAATTTTGAAAAAACCATATTGAACACACAACATATAATATTTCAGGACATGAAAACGTCTTTACCATTTCAAATATCTTCTTGATTCTAGCCATTTTTTCTTTTACTTCTTCCACCAGCACTAAAGTTTGCTCCACTTTTGCTTTGAGAAGTTGCTTAAAAAAGGTTGATAAGAATGGTATAAAATATATGAGTGTTTAGTTTACTTTCAACATGTTTATATCACACTTCTTTAAGATTTACTCTAGACTATCCAAAACCTAAATTGATAAAATATATCCATGATGATCTTTAAAACCTGTTGTTCCTTCCTTTCTTTTACATCTTCACTATCCCTAAGAGGCATTTTAACAGAACAGCATACACTTGATGATTTTGTGGCATCCTACAAGGATATAACAATTAAAATAATCACTGTTATATAAAAATATAAGTGTTTAGTTTACTTTATTAAACATATATGATTTTATTTAATTTTCTTGCGGTCCGAATTCATATTTTAGCGTTTCCTGCAATCTGATTGGCTACGCGAGCGGTCCATATGAGGCCGTACGAGATTTTAAAGCACAGAGCCAACGCTAAGATATGAATTCGGACCGCAAGAAAAAATAAATCTATTATTTACCAGTTTAGTCGGTCCGTATAGGGAAATATTTCCCTCGGTCTCAAAATGTCCCTTGGCCTTCGGCCGCGGGCTGTTTTTGAGACCTCAAGAAATATGTCCCTATACGGACCTCCAATTTGGTACATAACATATATATATATATATATATATATATATATATATATATATATATATCACATTTTTTTCAAGATTTACTCCAGACTATCAAAAACATCAGTTGATAAAATACCATGATGATCTTTAACTCTTTTGAACCTACCATTTCAATGAGAAGATCTTGCTTATTTCTGGGTTCATATGATGATCCCCTTGCTGATAAACCAGAAGCATTTTTTCTTACCACTTTAATTTGCGGCTGTACTGTAAAATGCTTATTTTGAATCTACAAATAATGTTTAAGTGAATTACACATTTGCAGATATAGAAATAAGGGTAATAAAAGCTTAATAAAAATATTTATAAAGTAAATGAGAATTTCCAATTTAAAATATACTTGATGAATCCATGTGGAGATTTATGATAAATTCATACATATAAATGTTCAATTTTAGTGTAATAAACTTTTTTAAACCTTGCTCGGATTGTCATGTATCCCACCGTCGTACCAGGAAAGCTAAATTCACTTCGATTTTGCCAATATTTTGGTGGCAGGATGAAATGTAATTATGATACAGATGTAATAGCATCTGAACCAATATTACTGGGCTTTACAACATTTCGCTTCTCAAGGACCAATGCTTGAACTCGTCAGAAACTATTCATTCCTAGTTTCATAGTAAAACGACACCCTATTTTTGATTTCACTTGGTAATGTATCTTAAAAATTTTGATGTACATAATTGTCCAAAACCTGTATTAAAGTTAAAGGCAATGCTAATTTTAAATCTTCGCCCATAGTACGGTATAACTCGCTAATCACAGAAATGTTAAGATAAGCTACTATCTAGTATCATTCATTGTATCAGAAACAAAACTAAAAGAAACTCTCAAATTATACTCACGTCTTTGGAATCTGCTGGCGACTCAGTGCATTCACTGCCAGTATCATCCCTCTCAGATTTTTTATGTGAATCATCGTTGGAAGACGAAGCTTTCATTATTGATTTTTATTTTCACGATAATTCGTTATTTAAAGAAGAACGTAGTTCAAAATTTTCAGTTTCTTCTTTTCACAATTTCAGTCACGAAGTCTTCATCCAGTGAGTCATCCACACACATCACTTTTTGCCAAAATATTCCGAAGTTCGTTCCGAAGTTCCGAAGTTTGCCGATGAACTTCCGACTTTGGTAACGAACTTCCTTCTGAATTGGCTATCTTTAAAATGGGGAACGGGGAACGGGGAACGGGGAACGGGGAACCGGGAACGGGGAACGGGGAACGGGGAACGGGGGGAACGGGGAACGGGGAACGGGGGAACGGGGAACGGGGGAACCGGTAACATGGAAAATAACGATTTTTTACACTCAAGTCTACACAAATAGTGCAATCAATATTTCAATGTTTTTTCAATCTTTTTGACTGAACTAGTGTCTGAAATGCACTGTGTGCATTGAGCAAAATACAACGATAATCATACAGTATATGCACTACACGCCTAAAAACGATCAGGTTGATGCAAGTTGATATAAACAGGATGGAGCAATGTTGTGCTGCCCTCAGACTTCAGAGCTGTTATCAATATTGAACAATATTTTTGAAACTGAATCGGGTGTAACAATATTGTTCAATATTGATAACAACTCTGAAGTCTGAGGGCAGCACAACATTGCTCCATCCTGTTTATATCAACTTGCATCAACCTGATCGTTTTTAGGCGTGTAGTGCATATACTGTATGATTATCGTTGTATTTTGTTCAATGCACACAGTGCATTTCAGACACTAGTTCAGTGTCAAGTTAATAAAAGATTGAAAAAACATTGAAATATTGATTGCACTATTTGTGTAGACTTGAGTGTAAAAATCGTTATTTTCCATGTTACCGGTTCCCCCGTTCCCCGTTCCCCCGTTCCCCGTTTTCCCCCGTTCCCCGTTTTCCCGTTCCCCGTTCCCCGTTCCCGTTCCCCGTTCCCCGTTCCCCGTTCCCCGTTCCCCGTTCCCCGTTCCCCGTTCCCCGTTCCCCGTTCCCCGTTCCCCGTTCCCCGTTCCCCGTTCCCCGTTCCTCGTTCCCCGTTCCCCATTTTAAAGATAGCCCTTCTGAATTTCCGAACTTCAAAATGAACTTCCGAAGTCCGAACTTCAAAGTGCACGAAATTCAAACTTCCACGAGGACAGGTTTTGACGCGGTAAATTCAAAATTCGCTCTTCAAAATTTACGAACTTCTAAAAGCCAATGAATAATGCATTCGTGATTCAAACCCGGCAAAAGCCGGTATCAGGCAACTTGCATCCCGCATAGTCAGAGCGAAAAATTCAACAAATATGTAGAAAATATGCCGATTTTTCGACACTTCCAGTGTCCTTTTCGACAAAAAAAGTGGCTGGTAGTTATTAAAAGTATCTTAGTTTACCTCTATGTCTGACATAGAGGTAAACTAAGATACTTTTAATAACTACCAGCCACTTTTTTCTGACAGTATGGAGAAATCATCGCGCCCGCCGTAACTTTGTAATGCGGGAACTTTCCCCTTTTTAAAATATTGCGGGAAACATTTTCGAAATGAAACGCTATTTTGTATGTTAAACGATGTGAAATAAAATTAAGCAAATTATAAACAAACGATTTTAGAATTTCAGAAAATGTTTGATTATTAAATTCAGAAACAATTACCATTGCCAATCGAGAGAATCAAGATACCTGATACAATGGCATCGGAAACAAATATTTCGATTACGATGTTTCAATTTGTACGGTTGTATGTATTTATTGCATTGAAGCGAAGATAAATAAATCAATACATGAGCTGAAACAGAACGAAGTCAAACTTAAATAATTTTTGCTGTCCGAAACTGTTTGTAAAACCTTTCAAAAATGTTTAATTAATAAAGAATTATACGTGTATACGTAGCGTGTTTTCGCTCCTCCTTAATCATCCATTTTGAATCGAAGTTAACCCAGGATTAAAAAGTTAAACCACCTAATTTAAACCCGCAGTTAACGCAAACTGTGCTTTGTGCAACGCAAATCGACCGAGGTTTAAAATGGAAATCCAAGCTCTTTTTCTTTCCTCTTCGCTAGAATGCTTCCTCTTTCACCCTGAACTTTCGCGTTTGCCTCCCTGCGCTCCAGATGTCAGATGTGGACGCCATCTTGGCTAAACTGCGCGCGCTGGCACTGCTCCTTTAAATTAAATAGATGGTAAATATACGTTTATTAGTGCTAGGAAATTTACAATAATCAAACATGCATTAAAACTAAGTACAACAGTTCTACATACTATTTAAAAAAACAACTTAACTAGACTCCCTAATGTTCGAGTTCCATTCCGACATAATGAATAATGATGTCAAAGTGATGTGAGTGCTCCTTTGAATTAAGTGTTCAGTCGGAGTTTATTGTGAAATTAATTGATTAACGAGTCCTTTCGAATTAATTACATTATAGGTATATCGTGCATATGTATATGTTTACACGTATATCAGTTTAACAACGAAAACAGTACGTTTTCAATATACATTATTACAGAATGACATACATAAACATATGCTATCTTTCAGAATACTTTTTGTGCAATATTGCCCTAATTATTTACCCATTGCATAACGGAGGCGTGTACGACTCGTTACATTGCCATTGGGTTAAAAAGTGTGTGTTTCGTGAATGTAGACAGGGACGCCTGAAACAGGGGAGAGCGGAGCAGCTTCCAGCAATGGGGGCAAAGATGTCCTTTCATTTTAAAGGATTACATTCTATGTTAATAGAAGTGCCACCAATGAGCATCAAGAATTGCACAATCGTTTAGCTATAGTGGAAAACTTCAAGACTGGCACAGAAATTATCTTGGAAAGAAAAAACATGACGATACGAAGTTCAACTGACGATGTTTTGCAAACATTCTTTATTATGCGCCGCTACAGGAGTGCCCTTTTACCCGCTTTGCCCTCGTATCGTTCCGACGTCCCTGGTAGTTGTATCGGTAAATCGGGCATTTGTGTATGGCTATAAAATGCTGGTAAATATTGTAATAAATATTATATCGCAACTGTAAATTGTCTGAATAAAAAAACTCACATCATATTAAAAGCAAGTTTAGCATAATTATGCAATAAAACTGACTAACTTTAAATTTTAGTATAATGAAAAACTTAGCATAATCTTAGCATAAAGTTTCAAAACTGGCATAATGTTTAGGAATTAGGATAATATGAAAAAATCAGGTATGAAAAAAACAATCCATTTTATCAGGACTGAAACAAAAAAATTGGCAATTTTGAGTATAAACGCATCCAGGGTCCCTAGTCCTATACTCTTGCTCATAATATATTTCTATGACTATGACGTCATCTATAGATGTGATCGAGGTTATAATCTACTAGTATGTAGTGTCCAGGATTAAATCCACGTGATAATATACATGTCTCGACTCTATTGAGAACGAGTTATCGTGCACTTAAGCCCGTTTACACTACACTTAATTTTATGGCACGGCACGGCTAAAATTGGTACCCGTACCCAATTTTATTAGGGTTCAGGCTACCAAAACAAAGGCCAAGCATAGGTGAAATGGGCATTGGTATCCATTTTAGCCGTGTCAATAAATCGAGTGTAATGTAAACGGGGCTTCAGCATGTCAATATTACTGACATACTAGGGGTCGGTTGTATCAAGCCGGATATATAGCGCTTAATCTGGAACATGTATCACACCTTTCTCCTGGTCAGTCTGAGGCATATTCCCGTCTGTTACATACAAGACAGTGGTAACCTATAGGGTAAGTGGTGATAGGATTAGATTCGAAAGATGCGCACAGAGCCTGGTAAAAACACAAGCTATTTTAAGTGGAAAGAATTATGATTAAGTGTAATTCACTGTCTAGGATAGAGCACATTACCTCACCCACTGTCAATCTTGGTGGCGGTGACGGTCGCGATGGGCTTGATCTTGCAGCATGTGGATTAACGTACAGCAATGATCTTAAAATGTTGAACGACGTTCTAACCTGGTCCAAAAGATCATTTAAGGGGACCAACTGTGCATTTGCAACATCTCGCTCTGCAATTACTCGTTGAGTATACTCGACTAACTCAGCAACCATTATTTGTTGTTCAGCAACTGTTGTTTCTCGTTCAGCAACTGTTGCTTCTCGTTCAGCAATTGCTGTTTCCCGTTCGGCAACTGTTGTCTCTCGACTTGCAATTATCTCATCCCGATTGGCAGCATTTGCTTCTCGTTTGGCAATTCCGGTTTCCCGTTCGGTAACTTCCGCCTCCCGTTTGGTCACTACTGTCTCCCGTTTGGTCACTACTGTCTCCCGTTCGGTCACTTCCGCCTCCTTTTCAACCATTCTGGTATCAAGGTCCCTATTCGTTATTTCACCAACAACTCCATTCAGTCGTTCATTCTGAATGTAAGATGACGGAAAATAAAAGAAAAATAAATAAAAAAACCAATAGGAAGAATTTATCGCGACCGTTCACCCTAAAAGAACTTGTTATGCATGGAGTACCTTAGCGGTATATGATATTGTAGTGAAATTTAAAAGACATAACAGTTATTTGTTGATGTTAAGGATTTACCAATGCGTGCTCTTCGCAAGGTAGCTCCTGCTGATGACGCTGTTGTTGTTCCTGTGGAACGTACACCACAGTACCGCTTGTTCCCATTGTTCCATCTGCACCTTGAGCTTCCATTACATGTGGTTTATCAGTCGTTCTCTCGTCCCTAGTTTCTGGTACACGTCTTCGAGATGAACCAGCTTCAGTATCAAATACCGTGCTATTATGTTGTTTCTTCTTCGTTAGATATCGTGTATGGACTGGAAAAGCACGAGTTTTAAAGGCTTTCTTTCTAGCTTTTAAACATTTATGTATTTTTTCGTTCGTCTCCACCCCAGGATTCTAAAAAAAATTTAAAATTTTAAAGAATGCTTAGGTTGCAAAATAATTGCCACTTATGTACATACATATATAAATATAAATGTCTTTGGTTTACGAAATAATACTATATCTTAGATATAGATATCTAAGATATGAAATAATACCATGCATATCTTAGATATAAAAAGTATTGCTTACCAAAATCGTCCACTACATATATACAGTCGGGTTCATCCGTAATAAAAAGTCTCCAATATACGGATGAAACAGACTGTAGTGGACGATTTTTGGTAAGCAATACCAAGATATATTGTTGTTTGATTGTTTATTTTTTTTCCCATTCATGCATGGGGAAACATTGGGGAAACATACAGACAGTTCGAGCCACTGGCTCTCAGCTCTGCCAGTTAATATCAGCCCGTTTAAACGCGGGAACACAGCGGAAAGATCACTTGCACATGTAGAATATCGATCTGAACATTTGAAATCGCCCATATCCCAATATCAACTACACGTTTCGAGTAGAGCATCTATATACAATGATATACACGTACCGTTAATACGATTAGTCGCAGAGTATCCTTTTTCTAGACTCTAGCATAGCCATATAGGCCTTATTTTTGTTGTGAGTAACTCTGCGCACTGACTGATGGTTGTGGTTTTTGCTAATAGACTTAAAAGTCTTTACTTTCAAGTTTGAACTAACGAAAGAAGTGCTCTTGGTACCGTAACATAGACTTAGTTATGCAAGTAATGTCATGAAATGGTAATTCTCAAAAACCTATGCCGAGTCGTATGACTATATAGCTAGATATATAGTCGGGGATTAGAGGTGTTTTTCATCAGGTAGGCCAGGATTAGTTTTCATCAGCTAGGCCAGGATTAGTTTAGAAGATTAGAAATATATGTTTGCCCATATAGTTCGCCTTAAATATTGGCGATTTTATAGGCGTAACAACTTTTAGAAGGTTCTAGTAATAGGCGTGATAAGAGTGATGGGGAAATTTTGTAAAGCCCACCGCGAAATCAGTAGACATGCAGTACTCGGGGCGACGGTATATAGCGGCTAATTTAGTTGCCTACAAGTTAACGATTTGTAACGCCCAACGGCAACAGTTCAGGCACATATGCATGCAATCTATTGGCATGCCGTAGACTCGCAGTAACAATAAAGCAATCTATATATACTTCATGCAGATTCAACATCCGTGTAGACTTACATCCAAAGCTTCGCTCTGTTCATCCAAAGGAGAATCTTGATTCTGGGCCATTCTTGTGATTTGAAAAACAAAGACGTGTTTAACAAATTTTTCGGAAAGAATGAAACGAAACACTATCGAGAGTCGAGCCAAGAAATTAAAATGACGAACGTCCGGTTGAGGAGACACTAAATACCCTATGTAATTACCTGCTTGATAATAAGATATTTTTTGATTGGTTGACTGCACGTAATTGATGTAATACGGGTTTATGATTCGTTCTTTTTGTCTTCTATTGTTATAGACCAATCAATCACAGAGGCAATGCACGATACAAGATGCCAGTCATGTGCTGATCATGTGTTACAATTCCGCCGTCAGATTTAACTTATTCAGGCCTTAGCATATATATCTAATGTAATCCATAATTTAGCTGACAGGAAAAGGACGACAGACGGACATAGAAATGGTCAGAGGCCAAACCCGGAAACAGGAAACAATGGTCATTGATCAAGTCACATTAGAGCCAAGTAAAAGGCTTTCTCTACTTCTTTCTTGTATTCCAAATGACACATTCCCTCGGCCGGTAACGTGAATTGCCTTTAAGGTCCCTAATATTAACAAGAGTGATTCCAATACAGTACAGAGTACTTTTTTATGTTCACACAGTATACTCATCCTAAAGACCTATTTACACTATGAGATTTGTCGTATACGATTCGTACCCTGGCGTATGTGAACGTGTGACTGACATGACTAGGTCTAGGGTGCATCAAAAAACGGAATTATTAAAATTGCAGTTTTTTTATACACCCTAAATGTGCATTTCATAAACAAAAATGGACAATTCCGATGAAGTTTCCTGTACCATGTACGTGTAGTTTGGAACACTTTGGACAACGTTTCATGATAGTTTAAATACGATATATATTTGAATTGTTTCATCAACTACCTACGATACTAAATAATCCAAACCGGAAAACAATAGTTACTAAAAAGTATGGACACGCAGAGTCCGTGAGCTCGTGATGATTTCTTGGAATATTGCTTTAAAATTAACACTTGTTTCCCAGTGTGACCTGCTGCGGAATCAATATCTCCTATAAGTGTTTGCTAACATTGGGGCTTGGGAAGCATGGCGAAACAGCAGGAAACAATGCTTCCTACCAACAATATTCATGGTAACTCAATGTTCATGTTCTATACCATATAATATTCTCATATTGTGATCATTTGAGAATATCCATAATCAACCAACTAAAATAATACATTATTTTATAACTACGTTACTTTAATAAATTAAGATGAAGATTCATGTTCTGTTCTGCGTTCATATATATTGTGTATTTTTTAATACCATTGTAAAGCCTTGCCAATTATTTCAGATAAGTGATAGTTAACTAATATGTAACTTAAAATATTTGTCACTTTGTGTACATTGTACTGCTGTAGTTCTATTTGCTGTGTTCTGTGGCAGCACTTCACTTGCAGCACTTCACTTGTAACTTCTAGTATTAAACTTGAAGTATATGTAACTTAGTGCATTGTACTGCTGTAGTTCTAGTTTAATTAAGATGAAGGTTTATGTTCTATACTGCGTTCAACATGTCGCTACATTAATTGAAAGAATTCGGAATGTTAAGATAAACATTAATATTCCGATGACGTCAGTCTATCTATGAACACGTGTCATGATCACATGAACACTAGTAGTATAAAGTTTTTGTTTCATGTAGTTGTTAAGTTAGTTGTTAGTTGGAACTGTTACTTGTAAGTTGTATAAGTTTTCGTTAATAAATATTGTTATATATAAGTCTTCCACCGTCATGAGTTTAACACGGAAAAAAAAAAAGTTACTGAAAAGTTATCTATTTTTAAAACAAATATTTAATTCCTAAATAGTAATGAATACAAGAACGATCGCGCTCAGCGCGAATTAAACCAAATCAACACCGCACAGCGAGTGAATTCAACGCCTTCAAACAGACGCCAGTCTAAATTCAATTCAAGGGACTGGTTAAGATTAAAGACTATAGTCATAGGCGTACGGATTTAACATTGTTTTTTTTGGGGGGGGGGGGCAGCAGAATACCTGCCTCACGAGCCAGCTAGTAGAGAGGATAAATTTGACTAGAAAACGTAATTTTTTTTCTACAAACCTGGCTTTTTAGCAAAAATTGCCCGACTGGCGAGTACAATATGCCAAATTTTTACCACCATTTTTGTTTAATCTGCGGAAAGGGAGAAAAGGCACTGCCTCTTTCCTCCTCTGCATCGTACGCCTATGGACAAAACTTCAAAATTAAACAGCACCATATTCTAAAAGCTATTTCTACAATGATAAAACAACACAATTTATGTCTAAATTTCTAAAATACTAGAAGGTATAAATGCTAGTAGAAACTCTAGAAAGGGCCAGGCAGTTGTTCAAAATGTTTTGGTCGATGTGCTTCTGTAGGTTTCAAAACTTTATACAGTAAGACTTTTATTGATCCAGAAAATACTCGTGAAATTTGATTTTATAAACAAGTGATTGATGTTAACATTGAAGATTTGCGACTATTTTGCGTTAACCCAGGGTTGAGTTACCCGTTTTATAAACAACTGCAACTGGCTCCTGTGCTAAACGTATATCGAACTGATCTGAGTAGAAAAATCAGCCAATCAGTAGGCAGACCCTCGATAAAACTGAATTATCATTCCTCGCATTTCATATGACTTCAGCACTGGAAAATTTTAAGAGATTCTATTATTTCTATGCTGAAACACATCTGCCTTTAGTAAAATTTTCGCCCGTTATATTATAGGTGGGAAGAACGGGGACAAATGACTCCAGGCGCATGATAGTTCAGTTTGGTCGAGGCGCCCTATGACGTCATGATCTCAGATCAGTTGAAGAAAGTGGAGAGCAGGGCGCACCCGGTGCAACGTCTTTTATACGAGAATAGTCAATCTCTCCCCGAGCCCCCGATTTCATCGCCAGAGGAAATGGCGGACAGGCTGGGGAACGAGACTGGAGAATAGTAAGTATACGAGGAAGAATCAGTGCCAGTGGCGTCGCCAGACATAGAGAGGTGGAAGAGACATAATGATTAATTTTATATCGTGACTATATGTATATAAAGAGTCTGTCAAATGTAAGTATAAAATTCCATACTGAATATTAAGTTCAGTTAAAATCAAATAAAGAAACGAAAGAAGCGGGATAAAAGCAGTATTATTTTGAAATAAGTTCATCGGCAGACTATTTCAACCTCTATATACCTCCCCTGAACGGCGACGTTCATGCAAAGAGTGAAAATGAATTTATAAAGCCAATAAAAATGAATATTGATCACTGCAATAGCAGTACTCCGGAATGAAAAGTGAACGCGATCAAGGACAGCGGTCGAGAGCAAGACTAAATCTCCCCATAGAAAATTACCAGATGCTGACAAATCTGAGAACAACGTCTGACAACTGACACTAACTACGAAGGGAAAAAAAGCGACGACTGTACCCAAACACGTGTTCACATCAGTTCACACAGAAGCACAACCAGTGCCATGCGTCTCTGTAATCACTCAATCTGGAACGTGGACATCGGCCTCCACATTATCATACAGTACATAGAGTACATAGATAGTTTGCTAGAAAACGAAAGAAATTGTTTAGGAAAGGTGAGGTGAACGCCCTCTTATTGCGTGTATCTGTTCAATGGGCTCCTTTTCTTTACCGAAAGCTTTAAATGTTCAGTAGTTAAAAGACTAGGGGGTTTCCCAAGGTTTTCTAAAACTGCTCTATACAACTCATGGTTTGGAGACTACATAAAAGTACAATAGAACTCATTAACTATGTCAGGGAACATTTATGCAAAAAATTGTTCCTTATTCGTCACATGTCTATTGTATTTTGAACAAATAAACCAATAGTAAGGTCTGAATTAACATGTTGTTCAAGTCACGGTTGAGGAGCTAAGCCAAGCCAAGCCATTGCTATTGGTTAGTTGGGCAAAATACAATAGACATGTGACGGATAAGGGAACCATTTTTTGCATAAACTTGGACAATAACATAATGAGTTGTATTGTACTTCCATCTAGTCTTCAAACCATGTATATTCTAATAACTGTGTACTACCCTATCCTCATTTATGCCATCCTATCTCACTTCAAACAGACTACCTCACTCCACCCCTTCAGATTTACACTTACGTCGAAGATATCTCCTATATCTTGAATTCCATGTACCTAAAAGTTGAGAAAACGTTGAAATGCTGGGTATCTAAAAATTACTCGTTTCAAAAAATAACAAAAATGTAATCTGAAAACTGGCATTTACTGTAGGCTTGTAGCTTACATTCGGTGCATTGTTTGGCTGAGGCACGGGTACTGGGTGCAAGTCATCCATCTATTATAATCAAAAAGAGTTACATCAAGATGGATGTACGTGCAAATTACTGCGAAACAATGGAATAACGCAAAAATATGTAATTTAACTTACGATATCCCTCAGCTGATCTTGAAGAGCTTCATGCTCCTGCGCCCGAGCCCGGAAGGTCTGAAGTGCTCCGTAAAGCCCAAAACTCAGGAAAATCATAAAACAGAGAAAATTCTGCATTTGATCTTGACGTTCAGCTAGAGCATCGCGATCCTGAAGTGCACTATCGCGTTCATCACGTGCAATTTCTCGTTCAGCAAGTGCTGTATCAAGTTCATCACGTGCAATTTCTTGGCCAGCAAGTGCTCTATCACGTTCATCTTCCGCTTGCTTTAAATCTGCCTCCAGCTGCTCAACCTACGTACAAGAACAGATGAACAGTAAATACAGTTTACATCAACTCGGCACATGATGAAGTCCCATTTCCCAATTCCCATGATATATACGACGGATTATCTTTACCTTTTGTCTGAGTGCACCATTTTGCTCGTCCAAAGAATGGCCATTTGCTGCCAAATGATCCACAATTCCTAGCATTTTTTCATCCTGAAAATACCAGGTTTAAATCAATGAATTGTTTAAATGCAAGAAATTGACCCTAAACTTTTAAAAGTTGTAATATGTTCAGAAATGCTGGAGAGGGGGGCCAGACTGCCAGGGGGCATTTAAATTAACTCCTAATAATTTGATTGATGTGGAAGAGAGTCTAAGCAAGCACTCTATTTAAGAAGACAACAAGTTACCTTTTGTTTGAGTTGAACCAGTTGAACACTGTCCTCTTCTAAAGTCTCATTCTAAAATTACAAGATCTCAATTAAAGAATTTACAAGAATTAAATAAACAGGTTTTCAATCAATGAATTACCATTTGCATGAGATCAGCTATTTTTTTAGCCAAGATGTCATTTTTCTTTGTTAAAGATGCAATTTTTTCATTAAGACTCTCCTTCACCTGTTCAATTGCAGCATTTGCCTGATATGAATATATTAGATATAACAGTTATTAACAAGGAATATCATTTGCAAATGATAACATTTGCATAATTGTACCTGAATAGTAATTTTGTCTTCTAAAAAACAAATTTCTTGCTCTAAAACTTCTTTATTTTCTTTCAACCTCTCATTTTGCACCTTTTTATGGCAAAACTTTTCTCCCAAAATTTGAAGCTACATTTAAGTGTAATTAAAAGTAATTTAATTATAGGGTAAATACATCAAGCTAAGTCAAGCTGTACATCATTGGCAATGCATCAATCTCTGTTTAGATAATTCTAGCTACAAAATTTACCTCACTTTCAAGTTGAGCTATTGTGCGACGACAATCAGCAATCTCATTTTGACAGCCCATCTAAAACATACAACATACTCATCTAATACCACAATTAATTATTGAATATTGTATATAAACTTAATATATATACATTATATACCCACTGTCCCAAAAAAAGTACTCCTGTTTGATTCAAACTTATATATGTAGCTTCTTATAAAGTTTCCTCTAAATTTATAACGAAATTAAACAAATTTCATTATAAATTTAGAGGAAAGACTAACTTTCATAACTCTTCTGCATGTTATACGGTATGACTAACATATAGCAAAAATTTTAATTACCTTTAAGAATATGGTATGTACATTATGAGTTAAGTTAAAATATACTAATTCTTAAATAGATTAAAATAATCATGTTGTCATGAAAATCACCTGACATTGATGAGACAAATTTACTTGTGTTCCCTTGTTTGGTTGGGCATTAACATTGAACTGGAACTATAAAAAAAGAATCAAATACATAAAACAAACAGCCATTTTAAAGCATTAATTGTGAATTCAACAACAACATGCAGTATTGTGTTAGAAGTTTTCAGATATGAAAATAAGATGAGTAACAATGATCAATGAGCAACAATGATGTACGTGGCATAGTTGTATATAAACATTTGTAGGATATGCTAAAATTGTAGCATGCACTTTGGGAGTCTTGTCAGTTAAAAAAAAATAAATAAAAATAAATAGCAATAATGAAGAAAGTCATACATTAATTATGTAGGCTAGCTTGCCTGTACAGATCGATTATAGCTATCAGAAAAATGAAGATCTTGCATTTGCTTTTGGGCTCTTGCCACGTCAGATTCTCTTCCCTGCACCCAGCCACGTTTGAATTCCTCCTGCATCAGCGAATCAAAGACTGCATCACTACTTAGACCAGGTGCCTGATCTTTGTAATCTCTGGAATTTGTATGGTTTGTCCCTCCACCTCTTGATCTTTTTTCTTGTACAAACTTTGGTCTTCGCCGTCTTTTTGATAATTCATCATGAGATTCTGTGTCATGAATGATGAATTTATCACGAGTCCGAGACGCTTCATGATCATCATCCTATAGGATACACAGTATCAAGCATAAATATATAATTATTCATATCTTTGCAACAAATGTATCTCTTAATTATAAACACAAGAGTCTGCTTTTGCTATTTTATTTGGAGAAAGATTGGGACCTGGTATAAGCATTGTAGTTGATGTCTGATACATGTAATCAGCAGGCATTATAGCTAAAGCTTTTGTTTTTCCAGGAGCGTGTTTGCAGGACAATTAGAGTACTAATTATACCGGATTTAATTAAAGCACAACTGGTATGAGTTTTGATGTTGTGCGCAACATCATGGCACACAAGTTCGAGTTTTAGTTATGGATGCAATTTTTTATGGTCAAGTGAAAAAAACAGTAAACAAATGTACTAATTTGTTATACAAATTAACACATATACATATAATAACAAATATCATTTTGTTATTATTATTATTATGGATATGATATTGATATTAAACAATCATGCAAGCATCCACTGAGACTCCAGATAACTTAATTCTGATACATTTTCTCATGAAATTGACCTGTATTATGCGTAAATAAATGTAACTAATTAAGGCTATCAGGTATCTTCTAATTATTCAAATGTGTATCAATGAATATCAAATTATCAATTAGAAACGCTTTTGAATTTTGATCACAAGTGCAGCAGGGAGAAAAGTCAAATAGTTGTGAAACGAAACTTACCGTCGTCTCAGAAAGTTCGCCTTGACGACTAATTGTAGCACTATCAGATTTTAAACTTATATGAGTCATATCCTTCATCCCAGGTTTGCTTATTAATTCACTATGATTTGCATTAGAACTTCTTCTGTATGGCATTCTACTTCGCGTCTAAACGTTTAAACAGAATATACAAATGAATAAAACTACGAAGACCTTAGAATTATAGTTTGAACGATGAGTAAGAAGCCAAGAAGATACTTACTTAACAAGAAGATTTTGGCTGCGAAAATGTTATGATTTAGGAAAAATTTGCTGTGGAATGTTAAATAAGTAGAATTTGCTGACTTCGCTAACTATTCCCGCGAAAGCGCGGGGTATTTTCTTTAAAGACAATGATTTTCTATCGTATTTTAATAGAAAACCTTACCACTACGAAATTTATCGCATCTTGGTTTTAGCAGTACACTAAACAGCAGAAGATTTAACCAATATAACAATTTGTGAATGGAGAAACGAAAACGAAAATACGCCGCAGTTTAATAATAATACTTTATTGACAACAACTGCGGAACTGCCTAATACAGTACAACACAACTTCGCGATATCTCAAATCTCAATCGAACGGTCTTCGAGACTCGAGAGGATAGTTTTATTAGTAAAGAGAACACATCATACGAACAAACGTGAAAATGAAACTTGAAATTTAAAATTCAGTGCGAGGTTAAATTTTATTGAATGACAAGCAAGGGGAATTCTCGTCATAATCGAAGCAGTTGATGCGAACTGTATACCATGAAATATTCTAAAACCTTTCATACTGAAAGGTAGAGTAATAAAAGTATTAAAACATCTAAGCGTTTTAATACATACCGGTATCTTCGATGAAGAAGGCAACGAGTTTAAATCACTGCTTTCGCTGATGTTCAAACTTTCTTCGCTACATACATCAGAGTTACCGGGGTGGGAAGGCTTTCCCACTCTTCCTCTACTCATATTTGGCGTCTTTACTATGTTCCAATACGTGTTTTCCTGCTAAACTACAAAAAATAGCCAGACTAGTAAAGAGCCACTAGCTTCGTATTGGCAATCCGGTTGCAAATACTAGTATGACGCAATTCATCGTTTTGACTGTGATTTTGATTTGAGGGTGTGTGTGTGTTTATATCTGATGAACCAATCAAAGCTCGATCTCGTGATCTCGTGATCGTAACGTCACCATCGACACTTCCGTCACATGTGCTTCCGTGCAACCCCAACACCCCCAGCAGGCAAGCAAGCTCGTTCCCGAGTAACCAAAACTAATCATTAACATATGTATTGGTTTTTTTTTGCATTTCTGAATTCTTAATTTCGCGGGCTTTTGCTGCCGCAGTGGTTTCTCTAGGTTATCAATAACATAATGGTACCGTTGAGCAACTTTAGTTGTACTTGATTCTGAATACTTTTGAGTTTTGAATATTCAATTTATGTTACAAAGTATAACAATGCATTTGTTCTTCATTCCTATAGTAAATCCTTTTCAATACACTACACACACTGATTTATACAACTTCATTACATACAAGTCATTGGGTCACAAATTGCAAAAATAAAATAAGAATAAATATATCACAAATTCATTGATTATGTGGCATACAAGATGCTCTGGAATTGCCTTTAACATTTTTAACCATTTCATGGTCAGATCAAATTTCTCAGTCTCACAGTTTCGAAGAGAGAATTTGACTCTGACATTTTGAAAATTTGCACAAACCTGACCATTCGAAATCCTCTCAAATTTTGTGCTAATAATTGATCTAATTCTAAACTTTTGCGTCGTTTATTTCGACAGTCTCACCTGCACAGTATCCATTTTAAGTGTCTATTAACAGTGGCTCAAATGCCGCAAATTTTCCCTCCCTACAAACAATCCAAATGCGCGAGCGCTGCATCCAGCTTTATTTTGGGATTAGTACTACCAGTTAATCCTGAGATATTACGCTAATCCAAAACCAGAGGAGAAGCTGATTGCTTGCTCCAGTTTTTGCCTCATCATTTCTTGGGTTGGATAACGCGGTAAATCCAGCAAGTTGAAACACGTGTGCGCTACAGGAAGGTGCTCGTTGTTAACACCGCCTGAAACAGGCTGAATCTTTATCTAAAGATCCAATGAAAACACAACACGGTGAATAATTATTAAGTTCTTTGAAAGTTTGCATGGCGATAATATTAATTTTTTGAACGTTTGTAGAAAGACCACGTGAATTAAGTTTTGCAGAGCTTTTGGTGAAATTGCTATAGTGAACATTGTGTATGACTGTATGAGAAGCGGTATTGGGACAAGCATACCGTAAAAATGCAAAAGTGACTCGTATAAAACTGCTTTCAAATATAGATATTCAGAAATATGCTTACATTTAAGCTCCGTATTCCTGTCAAAGGCACACGATCGGTTCCCGTAAGAAAAACTAGTAGAAAAATGGGGAATTAGAGAGACATGCGTTTCGCAAGATTTTCACGCATCACAATTTGCGCACAAGCTAACCACGAAGGGCATTTGCTAAAAAATGGACAAAAATTTACCAAGAAATTTCTTCTTGTATGCAATCTCAAAATCGTTAAATACATCCCAGAAATTCTTTATTACAGGATGATTGGAGTAATACTCGCCCAGATATTCTGCACCCTGAAAGAATTGAGAACGTTTGATGAACGAGATAGCTCACCAACTCAAATTCTAGACAAATTTAAAATGCGATGTCTTTGCAAACCTCTTTTAATTCATTGAAGTCGTAATCTTGTATCCCTACGACCATTTCCATCAGTTCTTGCGGGTGGAAAAATTCCTAAAGTCGAGAAAATCCTTTTAAGTTATCTGCCCGCCAATTGCTAGAGAAGGAACCACTAACTACAGCCTCATTTATGCCCTGGATACAGTTTTTCTTACATACCAAAACTCGTCCACCACAAACGCGATGGAAACCATTCGAGAAAGCTATGAAGTGCTTCTCGACGGATTTATTGACGATGTAATCTATGTACGCATCAACGTAACGGTCTCTAAAGAAACGGTTTAGTTTAAAAACGAAATTCCTCCTTGTTAAGTTGACGAAGAAACACGAACTTGAACCGTCGCTTACTAATGCATTGTTGACCACACACTTTAAAATCTCACGTATTCTCAAAAAACGAGATTGGTCTAAAGGCGCTAGCTGTTACACGGTGCAATTTTTCCTGCAACTTGCAATGCAATTCTTCTTTTGAGAGATGTAAATTTGGCAACTACCAAACTTTTGTCTTTATTACACTCCATGGCGTTCAGTCTTGCACTTTCATTTTGAAGACTCTTCGCTAATTTACATCTCTTAAAAGTAGAATCGCTATTGCAAGTTCAAAAGACCGTGTAACAGAGCCTTTAAGTCTGCTGTGAAAGCACGCCACATCTTGTGCATTGCAAAACAATCTTCAGCCCACCTGTTCTGTCCAGTAACAGGCACATTTTCCCCATCCGGGATCAAATTCTCCGCGCTGATAACACCGTAATATTCCTCGTTTACCTTTAAAAGAAATATATCAATTATCGTTGGATTTGGTCCAAAGTTTCTAGCACTATGCGAATGGTGCACAATTTCTAGTTATATACGAATTTGTTGAACTATATTTGAGTAAAAGTTGTACTTGAAAATTGAGACAAAACGCGCTTTCCACTTCTTCTTCAGGGTAATCAAGCAACTGTTGAAGGTTTCTGCAAAAATTTCACAGAAAAAGAAGAGTTGGTTGACTGATAACGGGGATTCACAAAGTATGATTCTCTGTAAACTTGATCGGCCCTGATTAGACCATCCAGTTTACCAGAAAGAGACGGTGCAGTTGTCTGGTTACCTGGCAACGGACGGCTGAAATGTACGAAAATCGTCCAACGTTATTGGCCTAAACAAAAATGACTCCAATTAAGAATGGTTGCTTTGAATACAAGCATTTGGAACCAAAATTCTGCCTCGTAGTCGGCACATACCTTTTTAAGAGTTTGTTGTACAGCAAGGCGGGAAATGGAAGGTCGATTATGATGGAATTATAAATGGCCAAGCCACAAATGACTCCGATGAGAAGGAACATCATTTCTTCTTCAAAAGACTGAAACGTGAATAAAATTGACTGAGATGCAACACGAACTTTGATTGGACACGTTATTTGTAGCGCGGGAACCTGTTAAACTGGTTTCTACATGCATTGATATAGATACCAGAGCATTCGATCGTTACCTGTTTGTTGAACCAGATCAGGCGGTTTTCCTCGATCGTTTTAAACATGCCGTATTTTGGATCGAGAATATCTCGCATTAACAGAAGAAAAAATTCCTGCAAACACACAAATATATGATCAACTGAAGAGACAAAGTTTTGGACGATCCTTAATTCTTCCCCAACCAATTGCAACATCTCTTTAAGTTAGTGTTTTTTTTTACTCGAGGTGCATCATCTCATCAAATACGAATAACTAGCTTATTTGTAAAGTTGATTATGTCGAAAATAGTAAAACTCTCACCTTTTTAACCCCACCTGCATCAACTGCTTGTTCACCTTGGAAGACGATCTAGTAATCGATGAAGAAAGACTACTTAACATACTTACTAAACAAATTATATCTATATCCCACATTATTTGTCATTTTTTTTTCTCTAAACACGAGTAAAAAACGACAATGAAATATTCCGTTTTTTCCGCTGTTAACATTTGGACATAGAACGAGTCCTTTTACAATTTGCCCTTTGTCTTGATAAATATTGTCAATTGTACAATTTGTCTTGATAAATATTTTTCTAATCTTTTAGGAACGAATGTTACAATGATTTAGTTCAACTTTATCAAGGTACTGTATACCTGCAGTGGTTTCTTATATTCCATGGGTCCAAGCCTGATCACCTGACTCAGCGTATCCTGGACGATATTCTCTCGCCTTACACGAAGTACAAGGAAAGGATTAATAATCGCGTTCTGAGGAAGCACACCTCCGTTAAACAGAAGATTGCCAATGTTTGCCTGGTGGGCATCTCGAAATGCCATCTGTTGAAAAAGAAATATTAGTTATAAGAACGAATATAGATCTGACATAAATTTGAAACCGAAATGGGGTATATTTCAAGACGTATTTAAGTTGTTTCAACGGAGAAATGGATTTTCATTTGACAACCATTCCTAGTCCTTTCCCGCCATTTCAGATTAACTGGGTGTTATGAGATCAGTGACTTTTACACGTCAGCGCGATATCCCACCTGCATCTGCATTGAGGCATCGATTTGTAGGAGAAGATACTTTGCTTTCGGGTCGAACACGAAAGGATATTTACAAAAGGAGAGTGTCGTCTAAAGATTGAAAACAAATTGCTCCTTTACATACAAAATCTCGCTGTTTCACACAACACATCGCATCGCTTCACAATACTAGCAAGCTCGATCGAATCAAAACCCCATTTTTACCTTTTCACTAATTTTATTGTCCGTTGTGCTCTAAAGAGAACAATTACATTCGTAAGCGATGCAATTCTCAATAGTAATAAAGTTGGCGGCATGTCAGCCAAAAAAATTTCTTGCGAATTCTAATCCGTCGGGGTAGGAATGGTTTGATATGTCAAATCGCTTCATTGAGGATCGGCTAAATTTTGAAGAACATTTGGGTCTCCAGGTTAAGGTTTTTAGGTAAATATATGAAATTTTCTATTTGGAAAAGGAGGCCTGTCCTATTTTCTTCCAAGATTGTCTTCAAATTGTCTTCCAAGATAAAATAACCCGCCATCTTTTTTATTACAGTGAATTTCTGATTTTATGGTGAAGAACACGCCCGGGCAAGAATCCACTTACCACATTTTGAACCCATCTCAAGTAATCGCTCCTTAGATCGAGACAATCTGTCAGCTCTGGGATATAAAACACGGGATATGGAACCGAGTTTTCGGCACGCTGATTAACCTAGCATGGAAGAGGAAACTCGTTACATTTTCGCAGAAACCCAGGACTGAAGAAGCCCAGAGGCAGGGGAGACCAACCCTACGTTTTAATGGCATGGGTTGCGAGGTTGAAATAAATAAATTGATTGATTTTTAAAGAATTTTTATGGGACGCAAAGATTGTTGAGTCCTTTGTGGACAGGCCTGGTTGTTAATGTGGCACTGACCCAGGAAAACAACGACCGTTGGGGATTTCAACTCGAAGAACGGTGACAATTCATTTACCTTGTGAACGCCTTCTAAAATTTCCAGACTGCACCTGAGACATTCTTCTCGTACTGTGAACTATGATATGAAAGAATACAATTCAGAGATTCTATACAGTAGGCAGTAGCTCGCAGAACAAATGCATCTCCTTGAGCGAGTAAGCTTTTCATCACACTTGTGTTTCTTATGAAAAAAGTTCTTAACGAGAAAGCTTACCAGTTTTTTCATAAAAGCGTGTTTGCAATAGAGGCAAACAAATAAGATTGTCACGCAAGAAACTTGATTGCGAAGGAATGAATTGTTTTATAGAAATCAACAGAAACCTTTAGCAAGCTAGTACAGTACCTCCTGGCTGTCCCGTTGATCAATTTGTTGTTCTAATATAAATTTAACGCATTCTTGAAAAATCTGAAAAAATTGATGATACAATGCAATACTGTGTGTTTGAATGAGTAAGAATGAGACTGCCTCGTTTTTCACAAACAGAGAGTATATATACCTTTATGATTCTTTCAATATACGTTGACGGTAGTTTAGCCCACCAATTACCTAATAAAAAAATACAATATTTGTGAAATCACACGATGTTTAATTCCTGATTTGTCCACCTTCATGAAACATGCATGAGTAGGGAACAATGTTTCCAAGGTCGAATATACCATAATCCGGTATATTTGATCATACCAAGGTCGAGTATACCATTTTCCTGCATAGATAAGATAAGATCTTGACCATGGTCGAATATACCATTTTCCGATATACTCGACCAGACCAAGGTCAATGAAATGGAAATAAAAATCCAATCCAAACACACCTATAATGATTCTATACTTCTGATGAAGCGACAGTAATTTCTTAGCCAGCGGTACTGCCAACGTTTTATAGCGTTCGGCAGCGCGAAACATCTCGTACTCTGGTAAGATGACGTATAATCGTAAACAATCGACATCCATCGGTTCTCCACGGAGAGATGGTATAAGATGCTTCTCCAAAGCGTTCAAAACCTTCAAGGAAAAAACAAATAGAATTTCTGTCGACGACTGAACTGTACCGGACTTTGAGGGGAGACGGGAAAAGTGGAAGGTTGAAGAGTGAGGGGAAAGGGGGGTTAGAGATAGGGAAGGTTAAAGGGACAGGGGAATGGGGGTTGGTTAGATAGGTAAGGGGCTTAGGATTGGAGTTTAAAATATGTTAGAGTGTTAGACAGGAAGAATTAGGAATGAAAAGGGGAATGGTTGAGGGTAAAAGGAGGTTTGGGGGGATAGGGTGTAAAAAGGGGAAGAGGGGGGTTATTTAATAGGCAGCAGATTTGCAAACCTTACCATTTCATTGACTTGGGGGTGACTTGCCAAGGCTTGGAAAAATCTTCTCGCAGCACTAAGGTCCACCGCATGATTGTGATTGTCTGCGACCAAATTTTTCCTTCTACATTTTGAATTAAAATTGAGCTTGCTTTAACCAGTCACATTTCCAAGCAAGTTTCAAAATAAACACAGTTTACTTGCCTGTTGAAGAAGCAGCTGTTTAGACACTGTTGATTTGAAAATATTGCTTCGAGTTTCCTACAAGATAAGAAAAGATGTTTTGCCATTAGTAAAATAGCTGCTATCAAGTTGTAGAAAGAGTTTGGTAGATAAGTACAAACAGATAAACAAATGACCTTCCATGTTCGCTGGAAATACTACTTCGATTCCTGATCCTCTCTTCAATTTCCTCAACTACAGTATGATGTATGATCGACAAGCGAAGATTAATCATGCGCATATCTTTCGTCTGTGAAAAGACCAAAAACAACAATCATAATCAATGGCTGAGTTTTCAAAAGTTGTCGATGATACATATTAGCAAAGAGGAAGACTTTCTGGATTGTTGAAGGTGAAATGCTGAATAAAAGCATTGTAGCCAGCCTGATCGATGCTATAGTCCTTTTATGAAAGTCTCGAGCTACTACCGGAATTAAAAAACTTACGCCAGCATCGGTGTTTGCAGTTAAAACAAAACAATGATCCCCACCAGCAACTACCCTAATAATTGGGGTTGTCCATGGACCATCTGCGACCACAGGACTGTTGCAGCTGTTCGTTCCACCAGAGCCTAGCTGACCATATGCACCAAGACCAAATGAGTAGACACGACCTGACTGAGGCGCAAACGCTACCGTATGTCGCCTGGGAAAGAATTTAAGGTATACTCTCGTCAATCTTCAGGGGAAGTAAAATCTTAATGCTTGTTTGTGTTTTGTTTATGAACTACTGTATTTCTAGTACTGGATCAGCACTCACCTTCCACAAACTATCTGTGTGATTAATGTACCCATTAGTTCAACAACCTAAATTCAAATATTCAAAGATATTATCCTAAACCTGACCATGTATAAATCACATTGCATGGAGGGAGGTATTAGGTTGAAGACTAGTATTTAAGATAAAGATTGGATTATTGCAATTAGAGTTGGGATTAGAAGGATTAGAGAAAAGATTAAATCCAGGATTGGAGATTGGATTACAGGTACAGGATTAAAGGTTGAAGTTAGCATTTAGGATTGGAGCTATGTTTAGATATAATGTTCATTTATTTTTGAATTACAATTGTCTGGTACATTACTTGTACAATATTCCTCTTTTACTAATAGCTGTTTTTTTTACCTTCTTCGGCTGATTTTGATGTGAATTTGAGTTATGTCCGAGCTGGCCATTCGTTCCAGAACCAAATGTGAAAACACCTCCGTCCTAATGGACACAAACTCTTAAGCACATCATACACATTTCATTCAGAAATTCCCAGCAGATTTTATAATTGTACCTCAGTAAGAAGTGCTGTGTGATCCTCACCACAAGCAATATGTTTCACTCTCTGAGATCTGACCAACTCTATTTGCACTGGAAGCCATTGATCTAGAGTGAATTAATTGTTTAATAACAGCTTAAAATTGATGATGCAATAGAAAAACAAGTTGAAAAAACTTATAAAGTTATGAGTTATCTCTTATCAATGTTTATAAGCAATACCTGTTCCATTATCCAGTCCAAGTTGGCCAGAACTGCAATTAAAAAAAATTGTTTCAAACTTCAACAAACTTCAACTTTTGTAACATAAAGTATACAAACGTAAGTATAAATTTGATTCTAACTCGTTTTTTCCCCAGCCAATGACAGCTCCAGATATGCTAAGAGTCATGCTGTGATATCCGCCAGCAGATATCTCAACCAATGGTACGCCAGTGAGCGCGTCCACCAAACAAGGGATAATTGGGGATGATGATGGGGACATCTGACCTGTACCAAGTTGACCATGGGAATTATCACCCCAGCTAAATAGTCTGCCATCTAAAGTGAAAAATATATACTGAGCTTTTAAGACAAAATTAAAGAACATGATTTTGAAATGTAAGAAAACTGCTTGTGACATACCTTCAACCAAGGCCAAGGAATGGTGTGTTCCACAACAAACTTGCGTCACACGAATTTCACTAAAATGCTTGATTGTCCTTTAAGTTTAAACTCAAAGATGAGTACCATGTCAATACAAGTTCAGTGCTATAGTAAGGCTCTCTTATAATAATTTTTTTAGTACCTTGGTCGATGTATGATGTCACGAAGAGTATGTCCTAGTTGTCCTTTCCTGTTATTTCCCCAACTGAGAACCTTGCCTTTGTCACTCAACGCCAGCGTAAAGTCCTGACCACAAGCCACTTGTTTTATGGTCATTGTCTCGATAGAATCGATCCTTTCTATTGGAAAAGGAAAGTGTCGACTCAGCACATAATCACAAAGTGATGTTGTATCAATTGAGTAGGTATGTTCCAAAATAATCAGGGTGCAACGTTGCAGCATAAAAAACGTTCCAACCTAAGGACCTTCATCAAGAGGTCTATTTTAGAAAGAGGTCTACGTTTTTCTTTTTTTGGAAGTTGCTATAGGTACCTGACTAGATGATAGTGTTATATAGTATATAGCATGTAGTATCCAAGTAATGTCATCCTAGCTTGATTACCTGGTTTCCTGCAGACTTTACCATGACCAAGTTGTCCAGAATCATTGCTACCACAGGTGTATACCATACCATCGTCTGTCAGGAATACCGTATGCTGAGACCCACATGCAACGTCAACTACTTTGGATGTAAACCCCTCGTAATACGGTACACGCAACGGCAAATGAACATGCTCGTCCTCCGTCTCTCCCAAAGCAAGCTGACCGGAATCTGCTCTTCCCCAAGCATACATTTCCACCATTTTCAACACCTCCAGTTTGCTCCAGCTGGTAGTTTAACTAGTTTTTTATACGCAACGCCGCAGTTTCACTTTCGAAATTTAACTTCTGCCATGGAAAATCGGCCCAAAAATATGACTACATGTTTAAAAAAACAACGCCCTTATATACCATCACTTACAACGAAAACATTTCCTCGTTTCTTTCACCAAAACACTCAAATTATCTACTTTTATTTCCTACGCCATCTTAATAGTTCATATTGTAAGCCAATTGATTACCCCCCTGAAACAAATAGAATTTACCACTAATTCCGGGGACCATTGCCTATGATTACGTATTTTCTTTCGTTCCCCCCCGGCACGTTTGAAAAAATTAAGCACACTTCACATTTTCCGGGGGAAAGAAAACCAATGTGATGAGTTGAAAGGAAAAGTAAGCAACTTTCAAGGAAATCGTGTAAATAAACGAAATAAAGTGTGGATTTTAAAGTAAGTGAAGCAGAATCTTATTTTTGGTAGTATTTTACGATTAATATTGATATTATTTAACGGGCTTGTGAATCAAATTTTTAAAATAAATTTTCCGGATATGTTTATATTTTTTCGTTACGCCATCTGCCCACAATAAACAGTTTTCATCTCAGCCCAGGAAAGTCAATAACAAAAATGCCCTGATTTGGAAAGAATATTCAAAAAAAAATGTTATGTATGCGACAATGCGTGTTAGTATTGTTTATGGTGTAGAAGACAGCTGTGATCTGTAGTAGTCTACCACTGCCGGACAAAGCAAAAGTAAAGTACATCTCTTCAATAATTGATCATAGTTGAGTAGAAATCCGTCAACTGTACAAATAATCTGGGACATTTAAGATATACTATAAGTAATCTGCTGTATTTATACCTTACTACAGGATTTTAGGTACAAAAATGCAAATCAAAGATAGAGAGATCATTTTACTACATTTAACCATTCTGTTCCACCACCTCCAAGTTGGTGTCTGGGCACAAAATGTAACTCAGTTTGCCAGTCTCATGCTACCAACACCCACCCCTATAGTACCATCAAGCTGGAATGGTGTAACAAATACCATAGCTACAATGGAAACCTACACACCATATGGAGTTAACCAAACTCGGTTTGGTTTTAGTGAGAAAACTGAGAATGCAATGCCAACTAGAACAAAATATTTAACCCCAAAAGCAAATACTACCACTACAGACCACAATGTTAAGACTGTCATTGTTATTCCAAAAGTGGCAACAGAAAACATATCAGTAGCAAAGACAAGTGCTTCTATCACTTCAACTTGGTCAACGTCAACAGAAAACTCTATATTAAAATCAACCCATCACCCTATATCACCCTCAACAACCCAACCTAATACCAGCTTGCTCACACCCTCCCCTAGTGGAAAATCACCCAAAACAACAAAATCAAGTCAACCCTTGGCTCATAAAGTTGGGTTGATTATTGGAATTGTGCTAGGATTGGTCATATTATCTGTATGCCTTATAGTATTTCATAAAAAAGAGACTCGAATGAAATGCCTTAAGTGTCTATGTCGGCCTTGCACAAGGAACTATAGTAGTCGATATAATATTGTGCCAATCTATGTGTATGACGATGCAGAACAAGATATACGAGAACTGCAAGATGACAGCGATCTACCATTGGTATAAATGAACATTTCATTCCTCTAGGTAATCCACTACAGTTTCATGTCATACTCACCACCTCACTTCCCATATCAAAATTAGTTTCATAACAGTTGTTTTCAAAATTAGGGTATGGTTTCAAAATTCATAACATTTTAGAGAGAAATTGATAGTTTTCAAATGGTAATCCATTTTTTCCTAATTACAGAATTCATAATGACCAAGTCAAAAATGTCACAACTGTCCCTTCAAACATTGGAGGGTCTTGTATGATGTGAAATTGTTTCGGCCTATGAGCTATTTACTCCTGTAGATAGACAGATTGGTT